ATATCGACATGCCGACAAATAAACTGCATGCACGAGAGTAGACCTAGACGAGGTACATGTGCATGATGATGAACGAATGCTTACATCAATCTTGTTGCTGGGCAAGACCGTTCCACGAAACTCACGCATGCAAAGACCAATGAACTTACTTTGGCAAAGACTTCTATTTTCGCTTCAGAGGAAAACCAGAGAGAACAAAACAGGAAGGGCGGATTATAAAAAAACAAACATCAATAAACAAGGTTACGTGCAACGGCAAATGTGAGGCAGCAAAACACTGCTGACACTACATTCGCATGGTTGGCGAGGACAGAATAACTTCTATGGTCCACACCAGACAAGGGAGGTTGATTCAGGAAGAGAAGACTCGGAAATTCTAGATGAATCCATAGTGAACGAAGCCAAGCACTTACCGGTACACTCTACTGCACTGAACTTCTCTGAAGGCGCCAGTTGAAACCTCTCACGGTGTTACTAGTACCGGGTACATAGCGCAGCTCGGTCTCCACCTCGCATTCAGCGTGTTGCCAACGTTGTCAAAGATAGATAGTTTCTAGCGACAGTTCACACACTGCACGCCACACAGAGCAAAATATTAATGACTGACAGTCCGACAACCGAACTGCATGTCAACCGACATGAAGTGCATGGACACGTGCTAAAGCTAACATCAATCTTCTTGCTGGGCAACAACATGGACACTCATCCAACGAAATCACGCATGCGCAAACCAACCGAGAAAAATAGCGAAGTTTTCATTTCGCTTTGGAGGAAAGACAAGTCACAAGGGGAGCATAACATGAAGAGCATAAGGGTAAGGAACGGCGGCAAGGAGCAGCATCGACACACTGGAGATACTGCAGCCGTGTGGGTGATGGAAAGCAGATACACGTAACTCCCATGGCCCACAACAAACATATTACTATTATTAATAGTTCTGAAGTTGATCCAGGAATAGAAGTATTCAGAAATTCTAGATAAATCCATGGCGAATGAAGCCAAGCACATACTGTCGCTGAAGTCGCCAGTTGAAACTTGAAACTTCTCACAGAGGTGGCGGCGTGCTGTCAGATAGCGCAGTTCTGTCTTCACCTCGCATTCACCATTTTGCCACCCTTCTCAAAGTTAGTTGAACAGTTTCTCGTGCAGTCCTTATCGAACGTTATTGCAGCGTACAACCACTCCAATTAGCGAGCTGTTCAGGACTTTTCCGCCAACGTCAGAGACTACTGGAAACCTTTCACAGTTGAGCATTGTGAAGCGCCAACACGAGTCCCAACTCAGTTTATGTCAAGTACAATTATTTAGCAAGAGAACACAAACGGCCAACTGCTAGCCAGGAAGGGGAAAATGAGAAGGAGAACTGAATACAAACTATCTCCAACATCAACAAAGCAACGAACCGTTTGGGCGTTCGAAAGAAAATCCGAAGCTGCGTAAACCCTGAGAAACTCTAAAACACTGCATGGTGTGCACGGGTCATAGGGTCATGGGTTCAAAGGGTTCAACAGCATATGTTTGGATGGACATACTGCTGGAGGAAGGCTCGAGAAGACTGGAAAAAAATGGTTCAATATGAGATACAGTGCCTGCTGGACGCTCCTCCTGATTTAAAATGGGGAGAAGCGTCCAGGAGGAACTGTATCTCATAGTCTTACTACAGTCGCCCAAGTGCCCGCCATGGCATGGTTCTTCCCAGGAAGACTCTATCTGCTACACCCTGCACCAGAGCCCAGCAGCAACCAAGTCACAAGCGAACCGGCTTTGGGCAACTGACATGGACCTTCATACCGGTACGTATTGCCTTGGCGTAGGTCTCAAGGACCCTGTGTGGGATGGTGGTGGATGTGAGAGAGAAAGACACGGGGGAGGGTTCCAGCATGCAATCATCGGCTCATGTGTTTATTGGGGTTGACAGAATTGGAGATGCAGGGGCGGGCACATGTGTCAATAGTCCTCGCACGCACACACAAGCATGCCGCATGCACACATGTGACACACACACACACACACACACCTGGCCTGGTGTACAGCTGCCAAATGCTTGGCCACGCCGCCCCCGAGACAGGGGAGAGTAGAAGAGAGAGAGTTCGAGAGAAGTCAGCACTGCCACTAGGAATCCGCTCCGCCACGATGCCGTCCACGATTGCAATTGTGTCGCCGAAAGCCAGGAGCAGATTTAAAACAGCGATCACAGGTAGCGCAGTGCTGGTTGCAACACGGATGGCTGGTGATTGGTATGCGCTGGGGTGTGGGCGGTGATGCCGGGGCGGGTATCGCGCACTTGTGCACAGCAAGTCCACGGCACTTCGGAACCACCGAAGGCAGGCATGGCATTGACGTGCGCCCGGCTGTTCCGCTACAGGCAGCTGGCGATCAGCAGAACACTTGTGGCGTCCGAGTCCAGATTTACTCTTGAATGTCCGTTTACATATCAAGTAAGAGAGCGGTACCGGGGCAGGACGCTGCACACGTGTGCGGTACGCATCTCTCCATTGCTGACGATCCTGGGCCAGAGTAAACCATTCATCAATTTGGCACAGTTTCATGTCTGACTGTATTCTGTCCTTCCACCGAAGACGAAGTCCCTGAGCTGGTCGGGGAGCGTCAAGCCATCCAAACAGCAACTGCTTAGGGAGACGGTTGTCAGGCATCCGAGCTACATGGCCCAACCACTGGAGGCGGCGACGGCGCATAGTGATTAGTGTCCGACACCAGATCCTCATCCCCCCCCCCCCCCCCCAACGCTTACGGAGGTCACAATTCCGGACATTATTCAACTCCTGATCCCAGCGCGAGACTCCCAGGATACACCGTAGACATTGATGATGAAAGTTGTCAATACGTATCTCATCACGACGAAGAACCGGCCAACACTCAGCACCATACAGCAAAACAGTCAGAACGCAAGTCGCATACAGCATTTTCTTTGTGCGGATGGACAGGCCGAGAGTGTTAAACACACAGCGGAGTGCTCCAAATGCACGAGATGCACTGGCAAGACGACGATCAACCTCAAGGCCAACACGAGAGTCAGGGTCAACGAGGCTGCCAAGATATACGAAGGAGGACACATGTTCAACTTCCTGACCTGCAATAACCAGGGGCTCATATACGTCGGCAGCCGTACCACAACTCACGAATTCGGTCTTTGAGAAGTTGATGGTCAACCCAAAGGCAGATGATATCCGATGAAAGGTCTCCAATGCCAGCTGTGCGGCAGCCAGAGTCGGAGCAAACAAGGCGGCGTCATCAGCAAACTCAACATCTAACACGGTAGTGGATTGATGACGGGTGCGTGGCCGATTAAAAAGGTTTCCGTTTACACTATGATTGGACGTGAAACCGCCACCAGCCGGGGAGGATTCGGGCCATTTCAGCATTCCACCGCTCAAACACAAGGCTGAAATACAGGTTGAACAATACTGGGGAGATGGAGCACCCCTGCCGGAGGCCATTGTTCACACTGATAGGGTCCGTGTGCCGATCGCCAACACGGACACGGGCCAGCATACCAGTGTGGAAGGATGCAATGAGATCTATGAGCTGATCCGGCACGCCAAGTGTCCGCAGACCACACCACAAAGCCTGTCTCGGGACCGAATCGTACGCCTTTCTCAAATCAATGAAGACAAGAAACCCTCCAGTAGATCTACGGTGTTCATACAACTTCTCGACTGATTGATACACTGAAAAGTTCTGGTCCGTACACGATCTCCCACGGCGGAAGCCACACTGTGATTCGGGAATAGGGTCCAGCGGATTCTGCCGGCAGAAAAATTGGCAGAATTCGGTACTTTTTCTGGTACGTTTCGTGCATGTTTGGTATGTGGATAAAGAAATGGAGCAGAATTCGAGGAATTGCCCGCCATAAGGTTTGTATGGTTCTGCCAATTTTACTGCTTTTCGAGCAGAATCTGTCACCTTTTCAAGCAGAATCCGCCGGTCCCTATTCGGGAAGCTCCCGCTCAGCAACAGAGTGCAACCGATTTTGAATTAGCCGACCAACAACTTTACCAACAACATCCAACAATGCTATGCCACGCCAGTTATCACAGAGCGATACACACACACACACACACACACACACACACCTGACCTGACCTTTGACGCCCATCGCCAGAGGCGATGATAGCAATGCTACGGCAGAAGCCATAGCAACTTGTGCTAGGATTGCACCATTCAACAGCTTGCAAGGCTGAAGAATTGACCGTCACTATTCAGCCTGGTCTACACCATACAGCTATTTGAAGTGATTTTTCTGGCCAGTGAATCCCTATTTTTGGTCTTTTTCATTTTTTCCCGCACACACATACACACACACAACACACACACACACACATATACGCACACACACACACACACACACACACACACACACACACACACACACACACACACACACACACACACACACACACACACACACACACACATGCCTCCCCCTCCCCGCACACATAAGTCTTATTCACCCAACACACATGCACGCCCCCCCCCCCCCCCCACACACACACAGGCAAACGCATATGCACGCATGCGCATGGCCATAAATGCACAGATATGAATGAGTTAATCAATGCCCAAGTGCACATTCCTTGAGTAAACATGCACTGAGACATGTATGGCAACATCAAGTTCCATGGTCATTCCAGAACACTGTTGTCAACATTGAAATCTGGTGGAATGACCGGGGCCGGCGCCCCTTACTTGCTTAGCGCGCACATGCACTGTAGCAATGCAAGAATGGACCAGCAGTGCTCACGGCTGCAAGACCAGCTTCCCGTGGCCGCTTGGCTTTTCGACGGATTTCAATATCCGCTACAGTAGGAAACACACATTACTAATAACACTCATCACGCAACCCCAATGTGTACTTGAGCAAACCAGGGAGTCGTAAAATACCGGTATTTTACGACTCCCTGGAGCAAACCCTCACACATCCCAGTGCCGGCGTAGGGCACGTACACATGCCGTTGATCATCACAAGTCACGGCAACCAATCACCATTGTCACAGTTATACAGTGCCTCTGAGAATACCGTCTACCCGTATCAAGTACGGTAGAGGAAATCGCCGGAGAAGATAAATGCGCCACTGGACTCCCTAACAGTTGCAAATGCAAACTGCAAGCATACACATTTAATTTTGACAAAGGTTAAAAATCAATATTATGGGAATTAGGAAAAAAAGAAAGGATCGCCTGTTCAAATGCAACAATATCTCAACTTCAGCACAGCTGATAATATAAAAACTAAAATGCTTGTTCTGTGGGAGCCAGCCAGATGGGTGACGTACCAGACATGATCTCACACCAGCTTAAAATTTAAAACAAATCGTGAGCAGTTGTGCTGATAAATACACAGAAGGCAGAACAAGCAGTGGATATGTTATAAAGCTACAGTAGTACAGGATACGTCATAGCTAGCCTAGTATTAGACACAAGCATCAAGTGTTATCAGTCCATGATAAAAGTGAATCAAGAAATATGCGTCGGGTTCACAGGCAGGAAAAGGCATCAAAGTTCTGCTTCTGCCATCGAGTGGTCAGCCAAGGACACTTTATGCAGCGCGTTAAATACATCATCGCTCGGCGAATGTGCCATACCATGAGCTGCATCACCGTCTGCTGCCTCCCCTCTTCCTGCCATTGCCCCTGCGACTGCTCCTCCTGATGCCTGTCCATCATCCTCATCACCATCCTCTTCCTCAGAGTCATCGCTTCCATGAACTAGATAATCTTCACCACTGAAGAAGGTTTTCATGACTTCGTGCAATGTGGACGGTATGTTGGCCGCCATCACGTTCTGCCTGTTGTCGTAGACGGACGACTGGCCGTGGAATGAACCTTGCTGGGGTCTGCGCACGTTGTCGTACACTGTGTCGAAATCGCCTTCAGAATCACCGCTCACATACGCTTGATCTGCATAGACAGTGCTAGCCTGTGCCTGCATGTAGTTGGCACCATAGAACAGTTGATGGGAGTTGTCATAGATCGGACTATGGACAGCAGCCTCCTCCATGAGCAATGCATCGTCCGATTCCCACGACACCTCGCTCTCACCGACGGCAGTCTCCTCGGTAGCTGCATCCGAGTACATATCACCCTGTGTGTTGAGCAACACAAGTGTGCAAAACACATAGACACACACGTGCCCATGCGAGCGTGCGCACACCCACACATACAAGCACACACATACACACACACACACACAAACACACACACACACACACAAACACACACACACACACACACAAACACACACACACACACACACACACACACATACACACACACACATGCACACAAAGGAAAGCCGTGTGAGACTCATTTCGATTTGGCTGTGTATGTTGTATACTTCTCACCCTGCATATTTTTCCTGGCGGCCAACACTGGCAACCGATGGAACGCTCGTCCAGCTTACTGATGCCAAGACCCCTCCCTCTCTTGCTTTTTGATTAAAAAAACACCACGGACTAAACCTTCCAAAAAAATTCACGGTTCGCGTGAGACTCGGCCAAAGGCCCAGTTTTCCGCATCCGCAGGAACGCCACCACCCTCTTGGATCAAGAGGATCACCTTCCAAAGTCCCCAAATATAACGGACTTGGCAGCCGGAAACCATAGCAGACCAAGAAAATCAACCAATGGCACAGCTGACCTGGGGCCATTGTGAGAATAAAGAATAAATGGGAGTATTACTTATTAGCCGTTGCTGTTTGTCACGTAACTCCAGAGGTTGCTGCATTAGCGGAGTACCTGACTACGACACTGCATTGCAGATCAACTCTGGTGGCTCCTGTACTTGGGCAGGGAACCTACAGTCCTGCTCAGTGAAATCCGACCAAAAGTGCAAAGTTAGTGCCCTGGAGTCCTGGACCAGTTCTGATTACATCATTGTATTTGCACTGGTGTACGTCCATCCGCATTCCTGCCATTTCCAGGGTATAAAGGGCGTGGAGGTTGAGGGCGCCAAACATGCACTCTGGGTCAGATTTCACCGAGCACAACTGTTCACTGTAGGTATGACCTCACAATGACATCATCCATTGTAGGTATGACATCACAATGACACCATCCATTCTGCGAGTATCAAGCAGGACACCACAGTAAACAGTACATAAAGAGAGAAAAAACAAGCAAATGACAAGCATTCCCGACATTCACTGGACTTACATAGTACTGCTGCCAAGCACCATTCATCCTCTGCATTTCTATGTCATCATATTCGCCTTCTTCTCCTCCATCATTGGCAAACGTCAACATCTGGCCATCGTTGCCTGAGTCCAGAATGAGCAAAACGACCACAACGGAGAGAGAGAGAGAGAGAGAGAGAGAGAGAGAGAGAGAGAGAGAGAGAGAGAGAGAGAGAGAGAGAGAGAGAGAGAGAGAGACAGACAGACAGACAGACAGACAGACAGACAGAGAGAGACAGACAGAGAGAGAGACAGAGAGAGACAGAGAGAGAGACAGAGAGACAGAGAGAGAGACAGAGAGACAGAGAGAGAGACAGAGAGACAGAGAGAGAGAGCAGGAGAGAGAGCAGGAGAGAGAGAGAGAGAGAGAGAAGGAGATCGTGAGCCAGCGTACGAGGAACAAGAAAGAGACAGACCCGGTGCTTGTTTTGGAAAGGAGAGAACGTCTCCTTGCATACTCATCAGGCACGTGCATCATCAGTTATTGGCACTCTTTAGTGCACGAGCATTCGCTGAAAGTGAGTCTACGGGGTGCATAAGTCATAAACCAACACTGCATCTCTGAGAAATTCCCGAAAGAACCCACTACACAGCATACAGCAGGGGGGGGGGGGGGGCAGCACATCAACATACCTAGGTCAGTGGGATATAGGCCATGCTGCCAGCCATCATACATCGGCTGAACGTCCTTTCCCGCCGTATCCTTTTCCTTTGTGTACTCATCGTGAAGGCGTTTAGTTAGCAGGAGGATGATGAAGACCAGTACAACGGCTACAACAGTCAGCGTGGCTATGCCACCAGCACTGTCTACGAACGATTTCACTAGCTCTGGCTCGGCTTCCGTTGGCGGTAGAGTAGTTTTCTTGGCCTTTCTCCAGCCCACAAACCCTTGAATGCTTGCCAGGCGCGGTGTTGGTGTTCCTTGAGCGAAGGATGCATTCAGGACGTTCTCCAAAGTATTCGATTGCAGGAAATGTGCACTGTTGAGGTGTCTGCTGTCTGGTGCTGTGAAATTATCAAACCAAGTACCCCCCAATGTGTACACTGACACAGGGGTCCTGCAGACAGACAGGCACATGCACACACACACACATGCACGTGCACACACACACACACACACACACACACACACACACACACACACATACACACACACACATGCACACACACACACACACACACACACACACACACAAACACACACACACACACATACACACACACACATGCACACACACACACACACAAATACACACACACACACACATACACACACACACATGCACACACTCACACAAATACACACACACACAGGCACACACACAAACACACACACACACACACGTAAGAGACATGTTGCCTGATTATTGCATCGAGCATGAAACTCAGAGCTGCAGTATTTGAATCTAGCCCCCCCCCCCTCCCCCCCCCCCCCCACACACACACACATGCACACAAACATTATTTCAAAGGTTGTGTCGGAGTCAGACTTTACACATCCGTAAAGGACACCGCAATCCTCAAGCACAAAGGCACAGATGGAGCCCCTTAGCATTTGGAGGTATGTACAGACACACAGGTTAACAACTGGCCCTCTTCTGTATGCATAGTCAAAGAGTTTACATAGCATGCCATTATTTATAACTCAGCTGTGAAAGCCTGTCATCTACCTACTCTCAGACGAACTTCGAGGGAGATCTCTCCACCAAAGAAAATTTGAGTTTATACATAAGCGTGTAAACTCACCATGCCTGTGGTTCCTGTGCTGCAGTAGTGCTGGGTAGGGTAGCAATGGCATCATCAGTAGCGGTACGCTGTGAAGTCTGTTCAGCTGGAGACTGGCTACCCGGCAGAGTGTCGTTAGACGGAGACGTGGATTGCTGGTCGGATGACGGGCCGGTAGAGACAATCCTCTCCGTGCTGTCGGTGATACCTGCTGGATTAGTACCCTCCACAAGCTGTGTAGCAGCAGCAGCACTACTTGCAACCGTGCCTGCGGGTGTGGTGACCGCTGGACTGCCTGTGCCGCTCGGATCTGAGCCCAACTGACGACGCTTGCGCACCTCGTTACCTCCCTCGTCCGCTTGGCTGGTTGGTTGGCTAGTTGACTGCTGACTAAAGTGTGCATACTGGATCACATCAGACGGTAGTTGGGCAGTGGACTGAGCGGAGGTGAGGCTTAGTTGGTTAGTACCATATGTCACCATCTCATTGAATGCAGCCAGGATGACCTGATCCTGCTGGAGAACAGTGCTTGCCTCGCCAGCAAACCACAGCTCCAGAACATTATCACTGGCGTACACAAGGACGGAGACTTGACTCTCGGCGTACAGTCCACCGCCGTCCGTAGCCCGTACCGTCAAGCTGATGCCATTCTCTGGCATTTCAAAGCCAGCGCTAAGGGACTGGCTCAGCTGAACTTCGCCAGTGGAGGAGACACCAAAGTAGGATGCATACAGAGCGTCACCTTCATTTGCAATGGAGTAGGTTACCCGTCCAAACGTGCCAGAGTCTGAGTCTGTGGCCAGCACGCGGGACACTAGAACACCTTGCTGAGCTGTTAGCTGCACCACTCCATAGTAAGATGCAGCAGAGAACACCGGCGCTCCTCTGTTAACGAATCCAATAACAATCTGGAACGACTGGGAGCTGTTATAGATGCCGTCGTCGACCACAACAGTAACGCTATAGGCATTGTTGGCGTCCTCGGAAGAAGCGTCGCGAACCGTGCGTATCTCACCAGTGCTGTTGTTGATGGTGAAGATTTCCGCGGTGCTACTTCCACCATCGCCACCACCACCACCACCACCACCACCACCACCAGCAGGCGAGCGGGGGAACTGAACGACGGTCATTGAGTAGAAGAGCTGCTGTTGATCGGCATCACCATCCAATGCACTGCTCACTACCACTAGAGTATCAGCCGGGGAATTCTCAGCAATGGCAGCGATCGTCCCGGACAGATCAGGATCAAAGAATGGCGGACTATCATTGATATCTTGCACATATACGGTAACCGTCGAAGTGCTGGAGAGCACGGGTTGTCCCATGTCACTAGCCTGGATTGTGAGTCGATACTGGTGCACTTGTTCCCGGTCTACTGGTGCAGTTGTCGTGATTAGCCCAGTGCTGGGATCAATGGTGAACAGAGTGGGTGCAGTGGAGTTGACGATACGATAGACAACTTGACTGTTCAATCCAGCGTCAGCGTCATTCGCCAGCACCGCACCGACAACGCTCTGACTACTGGAACCTTCGCTGATGTTGAACACGTAGTGATCGTCTTCAAAAATCGGCGCATTGTCATTCATATCCATGATGGTGATGATAACTTCTTTCACAGATGAGCGTGCAGGAATGCCGGCATCTTGAGCTTGGACAAGCAGCAAGAAAACGTCGGAGTTGTTCTTGTAATGCAGTACCTGCAAAGTGCTGACCTTACCCGATGTAGAATCAACACTGAAATACTGACCGGCACTATCTGTACTGTTGTCCGCCAGTAGAGTGTAAGTGACAAGACCATTGCTGCCGTGGTCTGTGTCATTGGCAAAGACCACCGTCACAACATGGGCGCTACCTACACCCTCCATCACGCTAACAGACAGAGCACTGGGCGGCTGGAACACTGGTGAGTTGTCATTGGAATCAAGTATGGTCACGGAGACGCTGGCCATTGCACTATACATGCCATCGGAGACGTTCACTCTCAGCTGAACACCAGTCCGCTGCTCATAGTCCAATGTGGCGTTGGTTCGTATCTGTCCGCTGCTGGAAATGACGAAAGTACCGGCACTGACGTCCATTGAGCTAACACTGTACTGCAGCTGGTTCAACACACCATGGGTGTTGTCAGCATCCGTAGCTATGATATGCACCACGTCAGTACCGGGTGGTGATGACTCAGGTATCGACACAGTGTAGTACTGTGGCGATATAAGCGGTGCATTGTCGTTGACATTCTCCACCTGCACGTTCACTACACATCTGCTGGCAACTTCGGTCAACATGCTACCGGGTCTATTACTTGCCTGTATCACAAGTTGGTAGTACTTTCCCTGCTCATTGTCCAGACCATGTGTTGTTACTACGGAACCATTGGAATAGACTGTGAACGCATTGTTGGTATCACCACTGACAATTCTGTACACAATGTTAGCATTGCTACCTGTGTCCGCATCTACGGCCTCGATCCTGACAACAGCCTCGCCAGCCATGCCATTCTCCATCACGCTGACATTGTACTCAGGCTCAGAGAAGACTGGTGCATTGTCATTGACATCGGTGACATTGATGCGGACTGTTGCCATGTCAATGCCACCGACTTGCAGATGTGTGTGGGGATCAATATTGTAAGCTTCCACCATTAGCACGTAGTATGGTGTGCGTTCGTAGTCCAATGAGCTCCATAGATAGATGTAACCGCTATCACTGTAAACAGAGAATGGCGAGGATGAAAGGCTACTGTTGTTGACAAGCTGATAGTACACAACACCAAACAAGCCGGTGTCATCATCTGATGCCGTAACCTGCGCCACGGTTGCTCCGATGGGAGCATCCTCTGCAATACTAGCCGAGTAGCGGGACTGTGTGAAAACTGGAGCATGATCGTTGACAGGGTTGACTACGATGATGGCTGTGACATCAAACGATAGAGACTGTACACCATTGTCCTGAACAACAATACTCAGTGAGTAAGGCCTGTCGACACTAGCGTTGAGCAGTCCCACCACTGACAATACACCGGTGGTACTGTTCAGGCTGAACACTGTCGTTGTGTCAAGAAGACGATACGTCAACCTCGCATTAGCCCCTGCGTCGGCATCACGGCAAGCCAGCGTGGCCAGCTCCAACGCACTCGTGCTGGAGTAGTTGCCTTCTCTCACGTAGCGTATTATTGTACCGTTGCTACAGGCAGGTGAGTTGTCATTCTCATCTACTACAGTAACAATCAGCCATGAGCGTGTGGAGAGCGGCGGAGAACCAAGATCGAATGCTTCCACGGACACGTTGTACTGCTGGGTGAGTTCATAGTCGAGTGTACTGTCCAGCAAGATCTCACCAGTGCGTGATTTGATGAAGAAAACGTTCCTGTGTGAGAGCAGGCGGTAGTTGACAGTGCCATCAGGTGCCATCTGATCAGCGTCTCGAGCTGACACGGTGACTATTGCTGAGCCCGTAGCTGTCAACTCCTTCACATCAACATGGTAGACGCTCTGCGCGAACTGTGGGGCAAAGTCATTGACGGCGTCAATTCCGATGAACACTGTCGCCTTGGCTGTGAATGGACTTGAGCCGCCATCCTGTGCAGTGATTTCCAGACGATAGGCATCATCTTCTGTAACAGCCAGAGGAGCTGCAAGTACAATGTCGGCGGTATCATTCGAAGACTGAATCAATCGGAACGTGTTGTTAACGTTCCCAGAGGTGAGCGTGAACGTGATATCACTGTTCGTTCCGATATCCTGATCGTAAGCAGTGACATTCGCAACAACGGTGTCGACGGCAAGATCTTCCGGCAATTTGACGTACTGGATGGCATTGACAAACACCGGCCGTTCATCATTCACATCTGTGATGCTGACAAACACAGATGCCGAGGCCGTGAGTACTGCACCGTTGGCATCCGTATCGGTGACCTGCACGCCCAGCCTGTACATTGCTACAGTCTCTCTGTCCAGTGACCCACTGACACTCAACACGCCGGTGAACTCGTCCAGGAAGAAGTCGTCGTTCGTATTTCCGGCTACTATGAAGTAATGCAGTTGACCATGAGACCCGTAGTCTTGGTCATGAGCATGCACTGTGGTGACGTAATGTGCCAATGCTGCCGTCTCCAATACATTGGCATTATATACAGACTGGTCAAACACGGGGGCATGGTTGTTGAGAGGCACGACCACCACTTGCACGAATGACGTTGCAGTTTGTCGAGACGGTAGGTCAGCATCAAAGCAGAGCAGAGACAATGAATACTTGAGTACGGAGTCGTTGAGTGGCTTGAAAAGCGATAACACGCCGTTGCTTGAAACACGGAATGTATGCAGTGTGTTGCCCGATACCAGACTCACCTGGAAACGAGCATTTGCCAGGCCACGGTTGTCAGTACAGTTAAGCTTGGCCAGGTGAGCGCCGACAGTGGTGTTCTCCTGAATGACAATGTTTTCGAACGGTGGTCGCACCGTCAGGAACTGCAAACCACCTCTGTATACCGATATCACAAGATTAGAGGTGGTACGCCGAACAGGAATTCCGTTGTCCGTGGCAACAACCACCAAGCTGTAGGTACGAGTAGCTGAGGATGTGGAGCGGATAGATTCCGACAAGTACACCAAGCCGAACTGGGGATGCACGGCAAAGAATTGTAGATCACTAGGATTGCTGGCATTGAGGCTGTAGGTGATCGTCTGTCCTACATCAGCATCTGTAGCACGCACTCTGACGATGGATGTATTGACAGCCGATGTGTCGGAGACATTAGCTGAATACAATGGCTGCTCAAACATCGGCGAAGCATCGGCACGACCAAGTACAGTAATGATGACAAGAACGGTGGAGTTTCTACTTGGCGTCCATAAGTCCCTGATCAGTACCTGAACCTGCAGGTGTTGCTCAGTGCGGCTTGAAACATGAGACAGCAGCTGCAATTCTCCACCGGGTGATACCGCAAATGCCCGTGTATCATCGGATACGATTGTGTAGTTCAGATACGGTGCTGATCCAGGAGTACTGCTGCTGCTGCTATTGCCAGTATCCATCACCGTGTCATCAGGATCTGTGCAGTTCAGCGTAGCGACACTGTAGCCAGTGCCAGCATTTGCTGGAATGATGACCCGGATCAGACTAGGACTACAGGCTGGAGTGTTGTCATTGACATTCACCACAGTGATTGTAACCTGTGTCCTGGTGGAGTAGCGTTCAGACGACACATCTTCAGTGGCACTCACAACCAGGTCATACTCCTGCACATTCTCATAGTCCAACGGCTGATCAACGAGGATGGAGCCCTGGAAGAAGCGGAATGTGTTGTCCTCGTTTCCTGACACGATGCTGTATTCAAATGATCCGTCGTTGCCTGCATCCAGATCTGTCGCAAACACCTGCACAACGGTGCTTCCCACGCCGGTGTCTTCAGGCACGCTTGCGCGGTAACTGGTTGCATTGAATGTGGGTGTGTATTCGTTGACAGGCAGCACGTTGATCGTGACACTGCTGATGTCTATCAGCGGCTGTGCTCTCTGATCCGTGCAGGTTACGCGCACGGAATAGGAGGTGGTGTTCTCATAATCCAGTGCCTGCGCCAACACCAGATCACCGGCCGCATTCACACTGACAAGGCTGTGGTGTGGCTGTGTAGTGGGTATGAGCACGAGTGTGCTGTCACCATCTCCATCTGTACATGTGAACTTAGCCAGTACGGTACCAACACGAGTACTCTCGTTCACCTGCAGATCAAGTGTTTCCGGTACGAGAACAGGCCGATGGTCCTGCCTAGCTTCCAGCACGGCTATGCCAACCACGGCTTGGGACGAGAATGACTTTGACCCGGCACCACCAATGACGTTATCCATAGCTGTTACAGTCAGAACATAATAGTTTGTCTTGGAAGCGTCGAGCGCCCTCTGAAGACGAATAGCACCGGTCTGGCTGTCGATGACAAACACTCCGCTACCACCAGTGAGGCTATACTGTATATCGGAATGTGAGCCACCGACATCGGCATCCACAGCACTGACGGTTATGACAACCGTGCCGAGCGTCACATTCTCATACACACTGGTGTTGAACACTGTGTTGTTGAACTCCGGGCCAAACACCGGCTCGTTCTCATTGATCGGTGTCACGGTCAGTGCCACCACGGCTGTTGACGATAGCACTGGGCTAGCACTGTCTTGGCACTTGACCGAGATGCTGTGGAAAGTGCTAGTCTCGTAGTCGAGAGCTCTCTGCAACCACAGCTCAGTGATGGCCGGCACCCTGCCCGGACGCAGACCAAACTGACTCTTTGCATTTCCAGTTATGATGGAGAGTGCAGTCCTGGCATTGTCCGTACCTGCTTGATCAGCATCTGTACACTGCAGTGAGGCCAGTGTTGAGCCAATGGGTGCACTTTCGTTGGCAGTGGCAATGACAAGACGGGAGACAAAGGTCGGTGTTTGATCATTGACGTCGGTAACAGTGATACGTACCTGTGTAGTGGACGTCGTTACTGAACCGTTGAACAGGAAAGCTGGAGAAGCAGTGATAGTCAGGTCATACAGCGATCGCACCTCCCGGTCAACTGTGCCTAGTAGATGCAGCTCTCCGGTCAGTGAGCCGATCTGGAAATGATTGCCAATGTTGCCACTGGTGATGGAGAACGCATACATGCCGGTGGGCGGGGAGTTCTGCAGTTGCAGTGTCAACAGCTCGCTGCTCAGCGGCCGATTCTCAATCACTGGAATGTTGTACAGGCTCTGTTGGAACGCCGGTACGCGCACGGCACTGGGGTTGACTGTCAGTGAGATGGTGGTCGTGCGTGACGTGAGTGCTCCGTCACTGCATACGGCTGTAATGCGATAGCTACCCGGTGACACATAGGACTGCTGAGATACCTGGCCATTGGGCAAGACCTGGAGTGCGGATACGACCGTGCTGTCACTTGAATTCAAACTGATCGATAGTTGTGGTGCAAAGTCAGCATCGGTACAGGTGAGTGATAGAAGCTGCTTTGGTAGAGTCGTGTCATCCAAATATGGCGTAAGAGCAATGACCTGTGGTGATAACACTGGCGTGTTGTCATTGATATCCAAAACCGAAATTGAGACAAAGGCTACACTGACGTTGGGAGGAACACCACCATCGCTGGCCTGCACCTCGAGAAGATAGGATGGCGTTGTTTCACGGTCGAGTGTCGTCACCAGAGAGATATTACCTGAATCGGGGTCAATGAAGAAAGTGTTGAGTGCGTTGCCAGACTGAATGCTGTAGGTAACTTCCCCACTATCACCTGCGTCAGCATCACTGGCAGACACACGGACCACCTGGTGTGCCGTACCTGCCGACTCGGATACGTTCACGGCGTAGCGTGTCTGTGTGAAGACCGGCGCAAAGTTGTTCTTGCTCTCCAGCACAATGGCAATGGTTGCCAGTGCAGACTGCCGTGCCCCGGGTCCCATGTCAGTGCACTGAACTGTGATGACGAATGCACCGGGCAAGCTGAGCAGAGAGCTCTGCACGGTCACCACACCAGACGTGGAGTTTAGACTGAACGCACCGTCTGTGTTGCCGCCTGTAATGGCATACGTAGCTGCAGCTGCACTGCTGGATGCGCCGCTGTCCTTATCACTGCAAGACACCTGTGTGACTGGGGAACCAATGCCGGTGCTAAGTGCCAGCGATACGGCGTAGATAGGCTGGGAGAATGTCGGCGCGTTATCGTTGATGTTGATAACCGTTACGCTGAGTGTAGTGGTGGAGGACAGCTGCAGCGACCCTGGAGCACCGTCACTGGCTTTGATAGTTAGTAGATAGGTGCTTTGAGTTTCCCAATCCAGCGTATTGGATACATACACCGAGCCAGTGGCCGCATCCAGTACAAATGCGTTACCATCATTGCCTGACTCAATGCTGTACGTCACCTGGCCGTATTCATCGGAATCAGCATCCTGCGCTGTGATGTTCAGAAGCAGTGTTCCGGAGAGTGCATTCTCTGGCACGGATACGTTGTAAGGTGCGTTGACAAAGGCCGGTTGAAAGCGGTTAACAGCCAGTACCTCAACCAAGACGTTGATCTGTATAGAGCGTGGCACGGAACCTTGATCGGCAACGATGATGACAAGACTGTAGACGGCCTGACGCGCTCTGTTCAGAGGCGGTACGACGTACACTCTGCCCGTACTGTTCTCAATGGAGAACTGGTTGCTCGTATCCCCAGCTGATATTGTGTAGCGCAGCGTGGAGCTGGCACCGATATCACGATCGGTGCAGGACAGTCGGCCGACCTCGACACGACCAGTGACGTTCTCCGCCGCCTTGAAACTGTACGTTCTCTTGGAGCACTCCGGATCGTTGTTGTTTAAGTCGGTGACGTTGACGTGCACCGTGGCATCACTACTCCGACCACCGCCATCCATAGCACGGACAGTGAGACTGTAGCGACGAGGATCACTGGCTGCTAACTGTCTGCTTATGCCGAATGCTGCGGAGATCTCGTCCAGAAAGAAGATGCCTGCTGAATTGCCAGAGATGATTTTGTAGGTAAGTTTTCCGTCGGGTCCAGCCGCACTGTCACCATCCATAGCTGTCAGTGTGGTAACGGTTTGACCAACAGCAGCATTCTCAGCTATGCTCAAGTCGTACGATGGCTGTGCAAACACGGGTGAGAACTCATTGACGGGCAATACACCAATAACAATGATAGCGTTAGACGACAGCATTGGCTGACCGGCATCAGAACATTCTATAGTCAGGCCATGGCTCCTCTGTTGTTCATAGTCGAGTTGAGCTGCTGGAGCTAAGCTTACCAAGCCGGTGCTGCCTACCTGGAACATCGACGTGTTTCCAGCGATGATCCTGTAGGATAGCTTGGTGTTGTTAGTCCCTGCCTGATCACCATCCGTACAGGAGAGTTGTATCAGCGGCACGGCAGTACCACTGGCAGGTGTCTCGTTGAACTGCTGGCTGTAAAACTCTGGCTGGAAAGTTGGAACGTGATCATTGTAGTCCAGTATGGTGATGTTGACAGTGGTTTGGCTAATGAATGCCACAGGCTGACTGTTATCAGAGGCACGCACAATTAACTGGTAGAAGGCGGTCACCTCGCGATCCAGGCGTCCAGACGTCAGTATTTCACCGGTCGATGCCTGCACAAGGAAGTGTGTGCTGGGCGTGCCCAGGGAGTACGTGATAGTCTGCTGATCAGCGTCGGTAGCATTGACCTGCAGCGCTGTACTGCCGATCGGTGCATTCTCAATGATGGCTGCAGAGTAGGCTGGTTGTGCAAACACTGGCCGGTACAGATTGACCGGTATGACTTCAACGTAGACAAAGATCCTTGTTGAAAGACGGCTGCCACTGCCACTGCTGTCCTGCACTTCAATCCATATGTTGTAGAATGTTGAAAGCAGCTTGTCAAGTGGTGACTTGACATACACTGCCCCACTGGTGGCGTTGACGTCGAATGAGTTGCCGGGATTCTGGCTGATGCTACCCAACAGGGAGTACGAGAGCAGACCATTGAGACCTTCATCAGCATCAGAACATGTTAGCGTTTGCACTTGAGTACCGACGGGGACGGTCTCGTTCAGTCGAATGTTATACTGTGAAGTGATGCAGCGTGGTGTGTTGTCGTTCACATCAGACACAGTTATAGTGATGTTGACCCGCAATGGGCAAGACTGACTCTGGCTGAACTGCGAGCATGACCATTGGTAAGGTACAGGGTTGTTGACCTCTGCCACGAGGTGATACACACGCTGCTTTTCATAGTCCAGCGAGGCCAGCAAGGACAGGACACCAGACCTCTGGCCAAGCGAGAAGGCACCGCCATCCGAGCTTATCAGGGTGTACACCAACTCTCCGGCACTGCCGCTGTCTGCATCCGTTGCATTCACCGTCACCAGTGCTGACGACACAGATACGTCTTCACGGTACGTAGCCGAATACGATGCATTCTGAAACACAGGTGCATTCCTATTGCCGGCAATGACAAGCAACACCACACGGGCCGTGGTGGACTTGCTTGGCAGTCCGCCATCAGAACACATCATAGTGATGAAGTATGTTGATTGCTGGCCGTAATTCAGCGTATGATTTAGCGACATGGCACCAGTACTATTGACCAGCAAGACATGTGGCTGGCCAGCAACAACGTATACCGTGGTCTGGCCGTTACTGGAAGAATCAGCATCTGTGCACGTTACCTGACCTACATAGCTGCCAGCAGGCTTGCCTTCATCGATGCTGATGGTTTGCGAGCTGGGCGTGAGTACAGGCAAGTTGTCATTCAAATCCTCCACCGTCACATACACAGTGGCAAAGGACTGGCGTGACACGCCGCTGGAGCTATCGGCAGCTGTGATCGTCATGGCGTACGTTGCCTGCTGCTCGTGGTCAAGACTGCGCGCTACTTGCAGCACACCAGAGCTGGCATCCAAAGAGAACGCACTGCCCGTGTTGCCTCGTGACAGTGTATAGCGGATCGGATTGGAGACGTCATCAGGGTCGGTTGCGTGCACAGTCAGGACGGCAGTGTTGACGCTGACGTTCTCTGGAACCGTGATGTTGAGGATGATAGTGGCATTGAACACCGGTGGATGCAGGTTGACTTCGGTGATAGTGATCAGAATCTGCCGCATGCTATTCAGAAGACTATCTCCACTATCGACACACTGGATATCAATATTGACAGGACCGCTGGTCTGTACAGTACTGACTGAGCTAATGCTAGGGCTGATGATCACATTCAGATCTCCAGTCAATGAGAACAGATTGCCAGTGTTGCCCCTGACAATAGTACAGGTGTGCTGGGAGAATGGAGCAGAGTCGGCGTCGGTCACTTGCAGCGCCGCCACCAGCTCTCCGCCAGTTTGATTAGCGGAGATGGTGAACGTCTGGTCGGGCTTGGTTATGATTGGAGCGTTGTCGTTGACATCGGCCAGTGTGATGTCGCAGCGTGCTGTGGCATTGCGTTGTCCAGCTGTGCTGCTGCTGCTGCTGCTGCTGCGGTCTGTTGCAACGACTGTGTAACTGTATGTCTTCTTGTCAGTCTCATAGTCCAGACTGGTTACTAGCTGAATGGCACCTGTGCTGGCATCCAGGCGGAAATGATCCACGGTTAGTGATGAACGTCCAAGCCATGAATACACTACCATGCCGTCAACACCTGCATCTTTGTCGGTAGCGTTGACGCTCAGGACAACACTGCTGACGGCAAGGTCTTCGCGGACGCTGGCGGAATAGACGGGCATTGAGAACACGGGCGGGAACTCGTTGACAGGCAGTATGCGTACACGTATGGTGACAGTTACCGTGTGTTGGACTCCATCCTGCACTGCCACTGTCAAGTCATACGTAGTTACAGCTTGTTGATCAGCATCCAGCGGTGCCTTTGTCAGCACAGCTCCTGTGCTGTTTACTTGGAATAGGGCACTACCGCTGCTGCCAGGTGGCGAGAACGAATACGCCAACTGTGCATCTTCAGCATCGCCGTCGGTACATTGCAATTGAGTTAGAAGAGAACCTGTAGGTGCCGTCTCCATGACACCAACGTCCACGTGTATAGGATTGCACAAGGGCTGTATATCGTTGACGTCGATCACATTCACTGTCAGACTGGCATTGGACTGCAGACCGCCAGCATCTGTAGCGCTCACTGTGAGAAAGAACACCCGCTGGGTTTCAAAGTCGAGCGTTTGACTGAGCACCAGCTCGCCGGATGCACTGATCAGCTGGAAAAGGCTAGAACCTGGCCCGGGTACCAGAGACAATGTTACGCTGCCGTCCGCTCCCTTGTCGTTATCCGTTGCAGTCACGACCGTCACAGCAGATCCCTGCGGGAAGGTCTCCGGAACGGACACGTTGTAGTGGCTGGAGCTAAACGCCGGCGTGTGCTCGTTACGTCCAAGAATCTGCACGTACATCACGGCTGTTGAAGACAGTTGTGGAGTGCCGTGATCAAAGCATTGTAGTTCAACAGAGAAACTCGACAGGGTCTCAAAGTCCGCTGCTCTAACCAGCTGAATGTGGCCGGTCGAGTCAATACTGACATAGCTACTGTGACTGCCGCGGAGTATTGTATAGTTCAGGGCGGCATTAGAACCATGGTCTCCATCAGAGCAGGCGACCGTGAGTAACGCATAGGGCACCGCAGAGGTTTCCTGGACTACAACATTGTAGACACTCTGGTTGAATTCAGGCACATGGTTGTTAGCATCGCTGACCGTGATGTTGACTGTGGCCAATGTCGATAAGCTACCATCAGTTGCTTGCACTGTCAGCGTGTACTCATTCTGTACATCATAGTCAAGAGACTGAGAGACGAGTATGCGTCCAAGTTGACTGTCCAATGTGAAAGGCAGGGGAGATGAACCAGATGTTACCAAGCTGTATTTGACGATGTCTTGATCAAGATCCACGGCTGACACTGAAAGCAGCCTCTCCCCAATTGGAGCCGACTCGCTGACCGTTCTATGGTACGCATCAGCGCCGACAAATGCCGGAGGGTGCTCATTTACATTAGTGACTTGTATCACCAGTGTAGCAAGGCTGAACAGGCTGGTCGTACCCGAATCAGAACAGCGCACGGTTAGTTGGAACGACCGCTGCGTGCTGTTCTCGTAATCAAGCTGTTCGTTGAGGATAACCTGGCCGGATGTTGCGTTGGCAATGAACGCCGATAGCTGATTACCCTGCGCGATGGAGAAGCTTGTTCTGCCGTTGCTGTCGCTATCCTTGTCCGTGCATTGGAATGTGGTGATGATAGTGTCGCGTGGCACTGACTCGTTGAATGTTGCAACGTAGTGGCTTGGAGATATGACCGGGGCATTGTCATTACTATCTAGCACCGTCACCAGCAGCTGTGAGGACGCCGTGGACAGAGACGCCGTCGCAGAGTTACTATACGCTTGAATGGTCAAGTTGTATGTAGTGAGAATTTCGAAGTCGAGACGACCAGAGAGCACTACCTCACCGACGCTGTCAATTGCAAACACATCGCCAACATTTCCTGCTGTGATTGAGTAGCTGGGCGTAGCGCTGGGGTCCGCAAGGTCCACGGCCGTGAATGTTTCCAGCAGAGTGTTGCTGAGCGTTGCTTCGGACACAGTCACAGCTCGACTGGCAGGTGCGAGTTGAATCCTTGGCAGCACACACACCTGACTGGGAATGCGAGTGGTCAGCGGCGGAGATCCTTTGTCCTGGACAATAATGGTGGTGTTGTAACATGTTCGTGTGCTGACGTGAATGACACGCGGCAGCTTCAAGTCTCCGGTGAGCGAGTCGATGAAAATTTCATTGCCATGCGTATCAGATAGCATGTATGTGAAGAGACTATTGTTGAGAACATCACGGTCTACACACACGACGCGGCCAAGATCACTGATGCCTTCATAGACCTGTTTGTTGTAGGTTGCGTTCTGGCATTGCGGTGCTTCGTTCTTATCCACAATATCAACGACGACGGTGGTATTCGTAGCCAGTGCTGTCTGTCCACGTACAGCGGCTGACACAATCAATGTGTACTGGCTGGTGATGCCAGCGTTGATAGGTTTAGACAGCGTGATCTCCCCTGTGCAGCGACTTAGAGAGAATGTCATGTCGATGTTGCCGCTGACTAGGTCGTAGAAGAGGAACGAAGAGTCGCTGGTGTCAGAGTCCTCGGCTAGCACGGTAACAACATGCGATTGCACGGCTAGATTGTCTTCCAGTGTCAATTGGTACGGTGTGTTCTTGAAGACCGGTGCTGAACCAAGTACGTTAACCGTGGCTGCGAAGTCTGGATTCGAGGCAAGCGGTGGACTTCCCAAATCCGTTGCTCTGATGGTGAGGAAGAACGATGGATTCAACGTTCGGTTAAACGGCTTGGCCAGGATGAGTTGCCGGCTTGTTGAGTTCAGATAGAACGTGCTGTCTGCGTTTCCACTGTTAAGGCTTAGCTGAAACTGAGCATTAGTACCGAGATCAGCGTCGGTGACACCCAGTGTATAGACAACTGAGTTCACAGGTAGACGGCTGCGTAGCTCCAACGTGGTGGAGCCGGGATTGAACGTCGGACGGTTGTCGTTCACGTCCGTGATCCTGAGCGACAGTGTGAAGAAGTCGGACAGAGGTCTCGGCGCACCATCCCTGCCCTCAATCACCAGTGTGTACGAGCTAGTTGTTTCTCTGTCCAGTGTCTTAGCTACAGTGATGCTACCAGTAGCCGGGTTAACAGCAAAGTCACCATTCGTGTTACCACTAGTTATGCTGTATGAAACCCTGCCGTACTGGTAATTGTCTGGATCACCAGCCGTTACTGCGTACACGGTGGCCAACACTGGTAGACTCTCAGAGATATTCATGCTCAGTCGATCTGGAATGAAGACGGGTGCTTCGTTCTTGAAGTCAATATCGATGACAAGTTGGAACGTGTTGCTGAGGCTGTGCGGTGTGCCCATGTCCGCGCATTGCACGTCCATGGTGTAAGATATGTTGAAGACGTTGTCCTTGACGACCCGCGTCAGCTTGACCTGTCCTGTGGTGGAATTCAGTGCGAAGTGTCCGCGCTCGTTTCCGCTCAGTATGTGGTAGGTGACGGTACCGTTATTGCCGTTGTCAGGATCTGTACACTGGACAGTTGCCACGGGCACCGTTGTGGAATGGCTGGGTAGAAGTGTTACCGTTTGCACGGGTTCTGCGGGTGACGGTGCATTGTCGTTGATATCCTGAACACGCACGTCAATCAAAGACTGACCAATGATGCCCTTGCCTGCATCGGCCTGTATCTTAAGCAGGTACACTGGTATGCTCTCGCGATCCAGCATGCGATCTAGAAAGAAAAGTGCGCTGTTCGGCCGAAGTGAGAACGTTGACAGGACATTTCCAGCTACAATCGAGTAGAGGAGAGGTTGTATGCGCGAGGTTGCCGTGATCGTGTCGTCTGTCAGCTGCAAGCCACCAGGTGGAACGGGTGTGTTCTCAACAACGTAGAATAGGTACTGGTTGTCAGTGAAGAGCGGTATGTCTGCCGCGTCGAACAACGTGATGTGAACCGTGGCGTTGGAAAAGACACCCGGCCGTCCATCACTGACCATGACCTGGAAGCTTGTGGACTGTAGTCCTGCCGGTGGATGGGCGGTCAGGGTGATAACACCCGTACTAGCAGCCAGTGATAGCCAGCTAGGTAGTGCAGTGCCGCTAGATACACTGTAGCTCAGCACGCCGGTGGTGTCTCTATCCGTAGCAGACAACACCAGGACCACGAAGCCAAGCTGCGAGGTGCCAGGCACGGTCACTGAGTAATTCTGCCGTGTGAAAGCTGGTGGGTTGTCATTAACGTCGATGACATTGATCGTGATGGTGCTAAAGGATGGTCTTGTCCCGTCAGAGGCTTCGACTCGCACCAAGTGCTGCTTGGTCGATTCAGAGTCTAAACTTCGATTGAGCGTTACCACACCCGAGGATGCGTTGATCCTAAAGTAGTCACTGATCTCCAGACCGGCGGCGTTCACCAGCCTGTAGCGTACAGTGTTATACAGCGGATTGGTGTCGTTGTCGGACGCTGCCACTCTGCCAACCACACCGCCAACCTCCAGACCTTCCGAGACATTGAAGGCGTAGCTGGTGGCCGTGAAGACGGGTTGGAATAGGTCAATAGGCAGCACGTTGATCACGACGTCAGCCGAGCCATTCAACGACGGCGTACCACTGTCAGAGCATGTGATCTTCAAGTCTGAAAAGTGGGCAGCTGGCACTCTGTATATGGACTTTTTCAGCTTGACGACAGCCTTTAAGGTAGTGTTTGCGTAGCTAGCCTGCGACGCCGCGCCAACGTCCAATTCAAAGTAGCCATGACTGTTGCCACCAGTGAACTGCATAGACAACTTGCCATGAGACAGCGTCAGGACATCACCATCTACACACTCCACGGGCGTTATTGGCGTACCCACTGTACTATCTTCAGGGACTGAAGCATTGTACAGCGAAGGAACAAACTTCGGCGCATTGTTATTCGTATCCTGAATGCTTGTATATATGGGTATTTTGAGCGACTCCATACCTTTGCCATCTACCACGTATAGGCGAAATGAGATGCCAAGACCATTGATATGCTGCAGGGGAATCGCGACCGTGGCTTGACCCGTGATGTTGTCAAGAGCAAGCAGGTTGCTAAACCTTGACTGCAAGCTGGATGGCGTGATGCGCTGGGTCATTCTGAAGTAGACTTGTCCATCGGGTGTATCAGCACTGTCCGTGTCGGTTGCCAGAGCCTTAAAAATGGGAAATCCAACTGGCCAGAATTCATTCATTGATAAGAAGCTGTAACGGAAGCCAGGTCTAAAACCAGTTGTGTTGGCCAGTAGGGCAGTGATCTTTGGTGAATGCTCATTTTCGGGCTGTACGTCGACAGTGACTGTTGCAGTGCCCACTACGTTGCTCAGCTGACAGGTCACAGTGAAATTGTGCTGCCGAATCGTGTCGTAATCAAGCGCTACCCTGAGAGTAATAGCACCGGTCAGACTATCGACCAGGAATTCCGTTGTACCGATTGTCTGATAGGTGATGACAGCTGAACTGCTGGATCCGAAGCCATCTTGATCCAAACATCTTACATTGCCGATCGGAAGGACAGGCAGATCGTTTTCCTTTACACTAAATGTGTACACATGCTGGAGGAAGCCAGGATCTGGGTAGTCTAGCACTATGATGTTAACAGGTACGGCCGTCGATCGGCTGGCAGAACCAACCCTGTCACCTTGGTCAGAGGCATTCACCAGTAGCGAGTAGCCGCGTTTCTGTTCGTAGTCGAGTGGCGTTGCCAAGGTGAGCTGACCAGTCTGATTATCAATACTGACCACATCTGTGTCGGCGCCTTGCAGCGAGTAGATGATGTTGCCGGCCAAGCCAGCATCCGAATCATTAGCACGTATTGTCGTCAGGACAGTGCCGACAGTTGTATTCTCACGGACCGAGATGTTGTAGGAGACCTGATTGAACAACGGTGAGTGCAGGTTCGGTATCGACTGACGGATTGTTACGGAAACATCAGCATTAGCCTTTTGAAAGACCTTGTCCTGGCATCCGATGTTGACCAAGAAAGTGTCTGCTACCAGCTTGCTGCTATCCTTGACAAAAAGCAGGCCAGTGCTACTATCCAGGTCAATCATTTCCTGGAATTTACCAAAGTTGAGCGAAGCAAAGGATTTAGAAGTGAAGAAGTAGCGGATCTCTCCCTTGTCCTGCGTATCAACGTCGGAGCAGGACACGGCCAGAACGCTCTGGCCCTGCGCGTACGAAGTTGTGATTGTCATGCTGTAGCTCAGCATGGAGAACATGGGCATGTTGTCGTTTAAATCGACGACGTTCACGGCTATCGATGTTGTAGTCGTGCGCTGTACTGACGGCGCCTGTGCCCGGTCACTTGCTACAGCAGTCAGGGAATAGGTTGGTTGAGTTTCATAATCCAGCGATCCCGTTACTTGTAGATCGCCAGTGGCGTTGTTCAGGGAGAAGACTGCCGATGGTGGTGCGAGCGAGTAGAATACTTTACCCTGCACACCGGTGTCCTTGTCATCAGCATGTATTGCACCGATTGTTGTTCCTGGCGGTGTGTTTTCAGCAGGGTAGAACACGTAGCCCCCCAACGAGGAGTTGAAAATTGGCGAGTGTTCGTTGACAGGTTCCAGGATAACATGGACACGAGTGGTGGTGCTGAGTGGCGGACTCCCTGCGTCCGTGCAGCCAATCACCAGGTAGTAGCTGGTAAGTATGTCTGCGTTGAGCGGACTAGCAACACTGAGCGTGCCATTCCTCGAATTAATGCTGAAAAGATGTGCCGAGTCGGACACAGCCGGTAGTATGGAGTAGTATAGAGTTCCCGGCTCAACATCTTGGCACTGGAATTGACCAATGCTTGTGTTGACAGCTGCAACCTCGGACACTGTAATGTTAGACAGAGGATTCACGAACATAGGATCCTCGTTGACATTGACAATGGTTATCGTGACGGTAGCTGAGCTAGACAGCTGCGTGTAGACTGGTGCACTGTCTGTGGCTACGACCTCCACTGACAACATGGTCGGGTCACGCTCGTAGTCATACAAACGGTTCAAGTGTAGTGCTCCAGTCAACGGGGAAATTCGGATGTCGTCATGCTCCGCCTTCAAGCGGTAGGTCACCCGGTTAAAGGGTGATATGTCCGGGTCAACAGCATACACGGTGCCAAATACATCCACATCGTTTTCTGGGACTGAGAAGGCATAGGACGAGGCATTGAAGACAGGCGCTCCGACGTTAGACGGCGTGACCGTGATCTGTAGAGTGACACGACTTGACAGCCGCGGAACACCGTCGTCTACTAGCTCCACCACCAGCGTAAATGACTTGGGGGCCGAGGCTGCCTGAACGCTTTTCAGCAGTGTCAGCTGACCTGTCAGTGCAGAGATCCTGAAGTAGTCCCGGTCATTACCGGACACAATGACATAGGTAATCCGGCTGTTGCTTGTACCAGCCTGGTCCAGGTCTACGCAGTCACTGCCCAGTTCAAACTGCAGTGCGGACAGTGGAACGTGATTGCTGGCTACGTTGACGGAATAGCTCGGCGACGCACACCCCGGTTTGTTGTCGTTCACGTCCAGCACCGTCACAAACAGCTGCTGAGCTCCGAAAGATGCACTGCTGTTGCCTTCGATCTCCAGAGTGTACTGGGCTTGTCTCTCTCTGTCAATGGGACCGCTCACTTCCACTACGCCGGTACACTGTTCAACGGTGAATGGTGTTCCTCCGGTTTGAAGGTAGAAGCCATTGACAGGCACTTCGGTCAGTAGCTGGATAACGCTAGTTCCAATGAGCGTGTTCTCACGTACAATGGCTTGGTCGGAGTTGACAAAGTTGAAGACTGTACAGACCACCAGAAAGAGATACAGACCAAACAACACACACACACACACACACACACACACACACACACACACATATGCACACACACACACACACACACACACACACACACACACACACATATGCACACACACACACACACACACACACATCCAGTTAAAACTTCTGTTTGCAGCCCATGCATTAAGAGGCCGTCCAAGGTTACCAATAGTATTTTCAAAACGAAATGTTTTCGTTTGGGGGTGGGTGGGTTCTAGGAGTTTCGTTTTGAAATTAATTATTGAATGTACATGGAAAATGCCCAGGTACTTCTGGGTGCCGAAGATTGAAATCAATATTTTGTTGGACTGCGTTCTACCTGCAGAAAGTTGCGTGGGGGTTGAAAATACTAAAACTTTTCATTTAGCAAAAACAATCCGTAACCCCGGATGGCCCCTAAGAATGGCTGGGTTCATAGAATCTCTATGCACCTTGTACAGCTGTACGGAATACCAAAGACGACAAATACAAACCCAGTTGGGTGTACAAGGTCGACTGGCATAGGTACAGCCGGGAAGTGAAGATCACAACAGTAGAGAGGCTAAGATGCACGTTATTTCTGACTTGACGCGAAAGTTCAGCTCGCGTTATTTGGCTCGCGCGTCGAAAAACAACGCAAGTGACCTGCAGCTCACGTCAAAATTTGGAGTTTTACGCCAAATTTGACGTGAAATTGCGCGTCACGTCGGAAATAACGTGCATCTTAACCTCTCTATTCACGTTCCACTTGCCGGTGTTGACTCCCTGGATACTCTGACTCCTTGCTGTTCAGTCTGTGCATACTGCCTTTGCCAATACGTGCACACCCACTGCACTAGTAACCAATGTCACAAGGCATCTTTGTGCGTACATGCACACTCATAGCTCTCCTATCCGGACCGCAGAGCTACGGGCACCTCGGTCTACCGGGCACTCTGTGGTTGAATTTTAGGTGAAATATTGCTACTCGCTTTCTGCTGAACTTGACACTTGACTGACTCGCGACTGCCATCCGGAGCATACGAGGAGCATGTCGCACCTTCCACTCGGCAAACCTGAAAGAAAGCACCACTCCCTGCTCAATACACAGTGTTTCGGGGAACTCACCCCTTATCAGTTGAGCTTGAGAAGGCTGAGGAAGAGTGTGCCTGAAGAGCACCACTTATCTAGTGCTCTCAAGGCCAAACCATCACCAGAAATACAAACTTACAGAGACGCTCCGTTTCCAGCGCGACAAACACCTCGTGAGGCACCAAGTAGCAGCGTGAGTCGTAGTCGCTCATGGAGTTGTGCTAAACAGATGTTGAGAGCCAGTAGCTATTCACAATGCTGCCACCTCCAACAACTAGTCGCATGTCCGCGTGAGGGACAACGATACAAACCTGGGGCTGGGGCCTCACGAGGTGTTTGTCGCGCTGGAAACGGAGCGTCTCTGTAAGTTTGTATCCCTGGTGATGGTTTGGCCTGGAGAGCACTATATAAGTGGTGCTCTTCAGGCACAATCTTCCTCAGCCTACTCAAGCTCAACTGATGAGGGGTGAATTTCCCGAAACACTGTGTATTGAGCAGGGAATGGTGCTTTCTTGCAGGTTAGCCGAGTGGAAGGTGCGACGTATTTCTCGTGTGCTCCGGATGGCAGCCGTGAGTCAGTCAAGTGTCAAGTTTGGCAGGAAGCGTGTGTTCCTCGTTGGAACAACCAACTTCATCACTAATACAGCCACGAAGTCGCAAATTCTAAGTCCGTATATTACTACTCGTGTGTCAAATTTGTGGAAATACTGACATTATAATTATGCCAGACCTCTGGTCCTTCCCCATCAGAACGTACGTGATTCAGACGTACGAACATTTCCAAGTGTAGTCTGTCCAGCCTTGCCACCACTCCAAAGCAGGACACCCATGATTATAATAGTCACCCAAGTAAAATGTGTGCAAATGTTTTCGTCCAAAGCAGGACTGTCCTGCTCAAAGAAGAGCAGTTGGACAGCCTGCTAGTTATGGCCAGTGCCTGGTACCGGACCGCCAGGATAAGCGAGATACGAGTGTACAGTCAACTTCGCTAATAACGACTGCGGATATAATGACAATTCGCGAATTACGACAGAATTTCCATGCCCAGAGCAAAGTCCCATCCAACTGTAATACATAGAATGCGACTTCGGGTATAACGACACTTCGCGAATAACGACACTTTTCTGATGCCCCGCCGAGTGTCGTTATAAGCCAAGTTGACTGTACTAGTCGGTTAAACTCGTGATGTCTGCAAGGCGCTATTACCTACATTTTGATGAACCGGATAATCGAACACACATACTGTATGACATTGTATGCATGACATATGCTGTAAATCGGTAACCAACGATTTTCTTCCGGATGGCGAGGGATCCGGAGAAAAGAGGACCGGATAAATGGGGTTTGACTGTATCACAACATTGTACATGATTTTGTGTTGCGGACATTAAAATCTGTTGAAATGCCAAGCGACTACGGGGCGCTGGCCTTGCAGCCGGGAGCACTGCTGGTTCGCTTTTACAGTGTGTGCATGAGCTACAGTGTGTCTTCACACTAAGACAGTAAGGGTGCCGGTCCTGGTCATTCCACTGGATTTCAATGTCCACAACATTACATGACGTAGAGGAGACGGTTTCAAATGGGAAATAGGTTGCAAACCGGAAAGGGCTCCATATTCACTTTCTCTCTCTCTCTCTCTCTCGGTATTTTAATTAGAAAACATATGTCACAGTGAGACTACAATGTGTTTTACTCCGAGCCAAAATTGTATGGCTCTGCGATGATCAGAAGCGCCATACCAAGCAGGTGGGTTTTTGATGTGTTGCTTCGCACTGCGACTTGAGTTTTACGTCTTTCGAAAAATCAACTTCTTGTCGCAGGTAAACAGCGGCTCGCCTCTCGCCAATAAAGCACCGTATACCAACGAAAAAGGATGGTATCACACACAAGGCTAATCGTTGCTCTATACTGGCCATCGTGGAGCGATAGCAATTACCTAATTTCGGAACTCAGAGTGAACTTGACGTGCGCTCCAAAACCTTTCCGGTTTGGAGCCACCTCGTCTTTGAAACGAAAAATCGGGCAACTTGGAGGCAACGAGCCAACACAAAGGAGTGGCTCAGTTCGATCGACTCTGGCCTCAGAGCAAACTTCAACATGCCAGTTTCCTTCCACAAGCATACAGTCAAACCTCGTTAGGACAAACTTCAAGGGACCGAACAAGTTTGTTTGTCTTATCCGGAGTTCTTCTTATCCAGATCTGACAAAAAAATGATATACGTATCATATGGATTGTATTTATGTGAAGGTGCATGCTGTGGCAAATCTAAAACATAACCCAGCAACAGGTAAGTACAATGTGGAATGAATTCAGGACAGCATGTCCTCCGCCTTGTAACAAGTGTTGCCAGTACAAGAGGCCTCGACTATTGAAAAAAAAACTACAGCTAGCGTACCTACCGGGACCGAAAGTTCGTACCACACGCTGATTTTGTTCAAATCATACTTGAAATTCAAGTAGTTCGTCTTCGCGAAAGTTCGCCGTACAGGAGTTCGTCGTAAACGAATAATTTTGACTTGATATGATACCTGGCCAACCATAGGATCGGCCCTAGTTCGTACTAAAGGAAAGTTCGCCTGATCAGTGTTCGTCCTAATGAGATTTGACTGTATTTCGAGTGAACAATCCACGCTGATGATCGGTTTGGGTCTGCACAATTTTGCTGTCAACCCGTTCCTATTTGAAACCGACCCCTGTACCAGTTGAGCTCATACTTCACCCCTATGATACTCCTGTGTGCATGCTACGTGAACTTGAACAGCACGTTTTCCCTGACTTGTAGATCTACTCAGTAGTCTCTTTTACAAAGCCATGAGACCACAGGGGCAACATGAGGCAACGGTTCATTCGCCTACCCGCACACACACACACCGTGACCACAGTTCTACCCTGACAGCTAGTACTAGTACTAGCCTAATAAAGTACTCACTTGTTTGTGCGTTGCAAGGCTGCATGAAGGTTGTTTGAGCCAACAGGACTGCCACGCATACGACCACAGCGGTGTTCACAAGACGCAGTCCGGACGAACATCTCCTCCAGCTCGGACATGATCGGATATCCATTATACAGCAGCTCAGCAACAGCCGCACACAGAGGTGCGCCCGCTAACACACAACAATGTGCCAGAAACCGGCAATCGCTCCGACCAGCGACAACACGGAGGAAGGCAGTGCGGCCACCAGGTCCAGGACTACCGGACGGCCCGCAATATTTCTACCACCCGTCCTCTTCGTGCCTTCCACACAGCTAGCTGATGGCGCGATCAAATATTCAGCTTCAAACTTATTCGACGGAACAAATGGCAAGAAAAAAACTTTTCAAATCGGCCAGAAAGACTCAACCGTTCACATGTCCGACAACAGCTGCTGGTAGTGGAGATATGGAGACTGCAAGATGTCTTCGAAGCCGCAGTGTTGTCTGCATGCGCTCAGCACCTAGTGAACTGACTTGCAGTGACCGATGATTTGCTCCACACTAGAACGAAAATCAAATAATCTGCAAAAGCAACGATTGCTCGTCGGTACCTAGCAGTGAGCAGTGGTGTTCGGGACATCGACGTCCGTCATATCGATGGGTGCACTCCGTTTAGCTGCAGGCTAGTCTTCACTGAGGTCTACACTAGTCTGGAGTTCGTAATACTGGACAGTTGAGAGGGAACCGCCAACTGCCAACTGCCACCACCCTCAGCTGCATAGAAGTCAGTGGTACTGCCCATCCCATAGACAGGGGCGGTAGATCTTCCATTGTCTACGGAACTCGGAGGACCGCTGTACGAACGACTGCAGTGATGGTGATGTTGTAGTGATGAGGTAGGCAGATACTGGAAGCTCCAGAGGTGAGCGGTACAACAAGCGCCCAAGTCCGGCACGCGAACGCACGAGAAAATTTGAACTTCTGCTGCGATCGTTCGCAAGAACTTGCGAACGGACGCGTTGACACATGGCGGTCGAGAGACAAATCTGTTTGACATGTTGTTGACAGAGCTGCGATGTCAGCTCTGCATGAGCATGAGCATGAGCATGAGCACGAGCCCATGCTTATGCTAGGCATGGTAGTCATGCTCAGCCTTTTCTCGACTCTTCCCGGTGCAGCGCCGAGAGTAATACGCTTCCCGGATCAGCACAGAGAGTAAAATTAATGATCTTGCACCGCATGATCGTAACGTCATGGTTATCACTGCTTCTGTGCTGGGACAAACGCATGACATGGATGCAATGCCTACACTACAGAAGCAAACCTAGCACGGGTAAGAGTGAGTCCAAGTCCAGACAGACTTGCTTGCACAACCGCATCATGCAAGCTAACGTTACCGCAGTCTTCATGACACCTCATCGACAGCATTGTGGTGTGTTCCGTGGGGCTGAGCTTGTTTCTCTGGTGGTAGTGGGTCCACTACAACTGTAGCAGCAGCTCACAGCTTGCCCAGACAGTTCAGCCATATTCGGTCAAGACACTAGAACACGTACGTCGACCACCCGGGCCTACTGCAAAGAGGCTGTCCAACACAAAGTTGTTCTCATGAAATGATCGACTCCATAGTACATGATCGTATACCCTCCCATAAGTTCCTCCAATCCACTCCCAGCCCTCATCCGTTTCAGCGCTACTCGTACGCGCAGTTACACCTATCGGAGATTCTGCACACGCTATACCGTGACGCTAATACAACCTGTGAGCCCTATCGCCTCACCTATCTCTTTTAATCAATCACATGGCTTCACTTCCCCTTGAAGTAAGTTCCCACTAGAAAATACATAATAATTATTATAGTAAAATACCAGTATTTAACTCGACACTAAGTTCGTATCACAATCAGCAGAATGTGAGAACAACTTTGTACTTGTCTACTCCCTGCTTCGCACCTGTTCCCATCTCTTGCAATCACAGGGCTATCTAGTGCTGCCCCCCCCCCCTCCCTTCTCAAGTTAGTTTTGGTGACCTCTTTCAAAATCGACAGCTCCATTGCATTGCACAATGCATGCTTCGACTACATGTACAGTACTAGCAACACCAGTTTGGGAAATGGATTGCGTTCAGGCATGTAATTTGTAGGCTACACTAAAGGATAAACTCTCTGGTTCATTGCTACAGTTGAGTAAAAATGCCAATAGACCTACATCGCCATCGGGTGTGCTCCATGTGCGCAGTGAACTGTGATGTGAATTTGCTCACCTGCGTACAAAGTTACTACTGTACTACTACAAATTAACCCAACATTCCCTCCTAAAGCTGGCTGTAACCCTAGCTGAATACATGATAATTATTATGATAATGTTAGCTGCCATACTCGTACATGTCATTGGTCACATCATCTAAGCTAACCTCACATCCAAGAACCCAACAGTTTAATTTACTACATGTAAAGTAATACTTGTTCGCAACCCTTCGGTACAAAGTCATATCAAAAGCGCCGGATACTAGCCGGATACATGTATCAGCAGGTCTGATGATTGCTTTTGGCATGGAATCGTTGTCAAGCTGTCCATTATCTTGTGAAATGCTCTTTGAATCGTACGAAATGCTCTACCCCTAACTTAGTAACTAGGGCTCAAACGGTCACGGTTTTACCCCTGACGGTTAACTGCTAAGCTAACGGTCGGTTAACCGGTTATAACCTATAAGCCACGGCAATCCTGCGGACTCTTTTTTAAGTATATTTGACTATACTCATTCAAAAAATGTACCCTATTCAGTACAACGCACACTTGTACATTCTCTTGCATGCTCATTCATACATACTCTCACACCAAGAGACCGGATATGACCGAGTTGACAGCCCAGAAATTGCGTACGCGTGCGACAGCCCACGAAAGTGCACACTTTGCAACGACCTGATACTTGAAAAATTGACTGAAAAGTTACTGCGTAACCGTTATCTTTATCGGTTAACCGTTAATTCTTCGTAACCGGTCTGCAACCGGTTAATCGGACTACTCGTTTGAGCCCTACCCCTAACGCTACATGACTCTGAGGCATCTCGGTTTAGCACTGTGAGTGGATAAGGAATTGTGAGGCTACAGCCGTAGAGGTACAGGCATTGCAATGGACACCGGTTGAACGGCTAAGTATGGAACATGCCCCTGGGCACAAAGCCGAAATAAGACATTGGCATTATAACTGCACCCACTGCTATCATGCTGCCAGTGATGTCAGTGATGTCATCAGACATCACTGCTGAAGCAGAGACAGTGTCGATTTGTCCGGGCGTCGTCCTTGCCGGTTGCTGTGTAGCTAAGGCCCAGTGAGTGGCGTGTGATCTCAGCATACAAATTCACATGGGAACACGTGCACACACAGCACTTTGACATACTTGCATGCATCCAGTGAACTGCTGCATGTCAAAAAGTTGACATGCAGTAGTTCAATGCATGCATGCAAGTACAATTGTAGTATCATCATGAGCATTGAAGTAAGTAGTTCCACATACTGTGACTGGCACATGGCAGCGGCACCATACAAGTCAAGACTATAGTCAGGCAACGTGAAGTCATCACCAGATCAAAAATAGATCAAGTGAGATGATCAGATGATCATCTACTACAAGCGAAGATCACACACATTCTATATGTAGACAATGCATGTCGCTGGCAGTAATACTTGAAAGTCCAAGGTGCAATGACAGTGCATGCAGCACAGCTCTGCCATGCAGTGCTGAATGGCAATGATGACAGTGCAGCACAGAGCAGGCAGGCAATGACATTCTTTGAGCATGTGTCGTGCAGCATAGCAGTACATAATCATTCCACTGCTCATTGTTCAGCACACAGCTCTGACCAATACAGTCATACAGTACTAGTACTAGTAGAGCCACATGGCATAGATCTTATCGCACTCCAGTCGGAATGACAATGCTACACCGGTTGAGACTTTGAGACTCGCACAATTATGTAGTTACCACAACACATAAACAAAACTTGGCTTGGCAAGAACCTTAGCACAATCCACACGCCCCAGCTCACCCCAGTACACCATGTAGAAACCCAAACCAGCCAGGAGATAATGATATAAACAAAGCTACAACACAGAGAGAACCCAGTCCACCTCAGTACAGTTCAGTACAGGACAAAAACAGTTGAGTACAGCACACGACACACACACGACACACACACGACACACACACACACACACACACACACACACACACACACACACACACACACACACACACACACACACACACAAATCAGGTAAACAAGCCGAAACGTGAAATACAAAAAAACACACACATTTCTCTCTTTCTTCTCACTGTACACAATACGGGAACAAAACCGAGTCCATTGAATGTCTACTCGGGCAAAGTGGTTTACACGTACAGTACAGACTATGCACGAGCACACTGACATGACTATGTACTGGCATATTAGTACATTTATGATAATGAAATCTGCTAGCCAGCCCCATGTTCTATGGCAGAGGCCAAGGTAGATCTTCAATGAGCTTATGTATCATGGCTGTAGACAGGAGTTGATACCTGAAGAGCAGCAGCAGCACAACCACCACCAACAGCGCCACCATCAAAAAAGGCTGAAGCAGCAACACCACCGGTGCACCAGCAATGGCAGCAGCAGCAGTAGTAGTAGCTGTGGTGTACCCCTGTACATAGTCCATACAGTAGACTTGGTGATACCACAGTAGCTGCTGCTGCCTAATGCAGAAGCTATTGATCAACTCAACAGCTAACAAAACATCAGTCATACAAGAATTAGGAGCGCCACCACTACGTCAACAATGGGAACAATAATAAACATGCCACTGTAGTCGACAGTTCGTGATTAGCTGTGACATGTAGCTGGATTCCAGGAATAGACAGGGCAGCAGCAGCAGCAGCAGCAGCAGAACAGCAGGGCATTCAAAGAGCAGAAGAGCCCAGTGTACACTGTACACATTGTGCAATAACTGTACTGTGTCAACTAAACACAGCCGTGCTACGGCGATTCATCTGTGCTTGATACACATATAGATAATCATGTTCAGTGAACATAGCGCCACCCTGGCCATGAGTAGATGTACTCTTGCTTACATACCGACAGCAAGCACACTGACACAATTCACCAGCTGACTAATCAGACAGTCAAACTAACAGAGTAACAATAGTACATTCTTGCCCAACACCACATCAGCGACCTCAGGGAGAGAAATATAGAGAGAGAGAGAGAGAGAGGGGAGAAAGAGAGAGGGAGGGAGAGATAGATAGATAGAGAGAGATAGATAGATAGATAGATAGATAGATAGAGAGAGAGAGAGAGAGAGAGAGAGAGAGAGAGAGAGAGAGAGAGAGAGAGAGAGAGAGAGAGAGAGAGAGAGAGAGAGAGAGAGAGAGAGAGAGAGAGAGAGAGAGAGAGAGAGAGAGAGAGAGGGAGAGGGAGAGGGAGAGGGAGAGGGAGAGGGAGAGAGAGAGAGAGAGAGAGAGAGAGAGAGAGAGAGAGAGAGAGAGAGAGAGAGAGAGAGAGAGAGAGAGAGAGAGAGAGAGAGAGAGAGAGAGAGAGAGAGAGAGAGAGAGAGGGGGGTCATGCAACTACTAGTATGCTACACTGCACTCAAACACATTACATTATTTCAAACTGCTTGTACAATCCAAGCACGGATGCACTTTCTGGCCACTGAGCCAAGTAACTGATCTCATCCAGCTGCTGTGCAACCCAGCTGGTGCTACTGGCAGTGCAGTTTTTTCAGTCAGTGGTCAGACATCAGTAGCCTGTACTGTACTATTCTGAACTTCTTTCAAACTAAACTACAGCCAACAGGCTACGACGGACACATGATAATAAGCTACGCACAAGCATACACAACAAGTGTCCGTGGACATAACGTTAGTCGGGTGGACCGTCCTTTACTATGGTATACATGTACATAACATTGTGTAACTGTTACAGGCAATATAACCGCGTCGCAGAGAACACAACACTCAACTATAGACTTGGGGTTCGTAGCACACACAGACAGAGAATACACCAACAAGCGAAGAGACACAAAGTACATTGCATTGCACACATACACACACTAGTGCATGCATGCATGCACACACACACACACATACAACTGTCCTGTCCTGTAGAGCCACTGCCACAGGGGTCACGTGGGCCCCGGAGGGGCATCAGAGAGGAAGATGGAACACGCAGCCTGATGACGCCGGAGATGGTGGGGCAAACGGAACCGGCGAGAACACACGCATACATGCGTGAATGAATTACGCTGCTGGGCAGTCGGGCGCGGGCCAGTCCTCGAGCACCGGTGACGACCGCGGCCTTGCACAGACCGAAAGCAGCGGGCACACACAGCACAGTGCGCAGCACAGCAGGCATCCTGTACATAGACTTGCCGGGGCTCGGGAGGCTGAGGCTGAGGTGCGGAACAGCGGTGAACAGCTAGACCACCCTTGCTTCGAAACCAACGCCCACAATCTCCACAGTGGCAAGCCCCTCGCTGCTCAGCAATCGGCTTTGCCCGCTCAACCACACATTTGTGGCGAGCACGATCTCCAGGGCGCGAGAATGACCGATTGCAATCCGCACATACCACTGGGTCAGGCTGAGGCACATTCTCCACAGGCTCGGCGTACATAGTCCGCCAGTCAGCGCGGGACTCACAGGCGATAGGGTACCATTCCTTGGCGAGGCCACGAACTCTTAGGTCGGAGACAACGCAATCCTTCCAGCGCTTGCGAGGGCCATGTGCTGGGCGGCGTGTGGGAAGTGAGCCAAACAGAATCTGTCTCGGCATCCGGCTACTGTCCATTCGGGCAACATGGCCCAGCCACTCTAGGCGACGCTGTGCGACCTTCACGCAGATGGTATCAGTGTCACCCCACATCTCCAACAGTTGGGCGTTGGTCGTGTGATTATTCCAGCAATCTCTGCGGGACACACCCAAGATGGAACGGATGCACCGCATATGAAAGACTGACAAATGTTGGAGATCGTGTTGCAATGGTGCCCAACACTCTGACCCATAGAGGAGGAGCGACACCACACATGCATTAAACACACCACTCTTGATATGCAAATCAAGGTCAGGATTGCTGAAGATGGTTCCTTGCAACACCCATACACACACATACATACATACATACATACATACATACATACATACATACATACATACATACATACATACATACATACACACACCCATACACACACACACACCTTTGACCTTTGACGCCCATCGCCGGAGGCACTGATAGCAATGCTACGGCAGATGCCATAGCAACTTGTGCTGGGATTGCACCATTCAACAGCTTGCAAGGCTGAAGAATTGACCGTCACTATTCAGCCTGGTCTACACCATACAGCTATTTTGAAGTGACTTTTTCTGGCCAGTGAATCCCTATTTTTGGTCTTTTCATTTTTTTTTCCCGCACACACATCACACCACATACTCCGGCATGCACTGGCTGTTGGTAACCACCCAGGAGAATGAAAGAAAAGTCAGGAAGAGTCTTAGAAAGAGAAGAAAGACGTGTGTGACCATGATCGTCGGGAATCGAACCCGCAACCTATCGATTGGAAATCGCTGCACATACCACTGTACCATATGGGACACACACACACACACACACACACACACACACACACACACACACACACACACACACACACACACACACACACAAAGGCTCCAGAACGCTTGAGGCATACAGCACAGTGTTGCTGAATGAAAGCCGGGCATCATTGGGTGAGCTAGTGCCATGCACTGTAAGCCCCAGACCTATGAATACCGGACAAAGCACAGGGGCAGAGCACTAACATATTCCCGGGCTCAGTACCCAGGAGAACGACAACGCCGTAGTCTCAAGAGTATAAGCCGCACCCAGATATTTTGTCACGAAATACAGACAACTACTAGTACCCAATTTATGGACTCAGGTGGAGAGCCAAGGATACATTTATAGAAAAGAAAAAGGACTAAGGAACTACAAGTTACGCTATAATGTCCACTAACACCACCAGTTACTAAACAATCAGCTCATGCGATTGTTTAGTAACTGGTGGTGTTAGTGGACATTATAGCGTAGCTTGTAATTCCTTAGTCCTTTTTCTTTACCCAATTTATAACTGTTAATTTGACCATTGTAGTATAGGCCGCCGCCAACTTTTCTTCGGTGAAGAGACCCCTGGTGGCGGCTTATGCTCCGGAAGATATGGTACATTGCACAGACAGGCCTTAGATTCCTTGGCACTGTAATGCTCCTCGCCGCATTCATGACAGACAAACATAACCTAAGGGTATTCATCAGTTTTAGGGAGCTGAAAACGAAAGTTCACCTTTGTATTAAAAGCTTCACATGCTCAAGGAACTAAAGGAAGGTCAACTGGAGATACTCACAATCTGCTCAAATGATATCATATCACAGTGCCTAGTCTCAAGCACTCTTTCATAAAAGCACTTATTGATGTGCGAATAACTCCCTATGTCTATTGTACATACAAATAGTACGCCAATACATCCATGAATGTCTTGATTCGGCAGAAACACCCTTGCTATTCTAAACATGACCCCCAAAAGATGTGAATAAAAAAGTCACAAAGTTTTTGTTTCCAGAGGAAGTGAAATGTGTTGATAGCCACCCTGCGATCGCAGCTCTGGACAGACAATGCGAATACACTCTTGGAGCGGAGAACCCTTTCTATACAATACAACACATGTAGCAAGTACATTGCTACCCTTGAAATGAAAACAGTCTCCATCATGCAACGCTGAGCTGAGCATGGACTAGGATCTAGTCCTTCCCCCCCCCCCCCCCCATAGCAACCCCACCAAACCCCTAACACCACAAGTTGTAAAACTGTTCATCCAGGACCAACAACATGTGGGCTCCTGCAATAAGCTACACATCTCAACAAGAGAGTGCATAAACAAGAGTATGCAACTGTGGTGTTGGGTCAGTGCGAGGCGCGCTGCCTTCATTACGTAACTTGCCTCCATCACGCTCTGAAAGCATGCACTCCAACCCACAATTTGTTGTACGAGCCCATCCGATTTTGCTCGATTCGTTCCAGCATCTACGCGATCTCTAAATTCTGAAGCGTGAACTCCAGTTCCGTACGAAAGTTCACTTCAAACCAGAGGGAAAGTGTGGTGTTCGATTTCCTGCAGTGCGCGGACTGCACCTGAATGATGTAATGAAGGCAGCGCACCGCGCATCTGGCCCATAGAAAAGAGATCACAGTGGCATACTCTTGTTTTATGGACACTTGATCTCGATCAAGGCTGATCCAGTCATTTTTAACAAAAAAAATAGTTTTCAAAGCAATCTTAGTCGAAGAATTCCAAATACAAGTAAGTTAAAGTATTGTCTTCAAAATGACTACGGTAAGCATTGCAACAGCCGCCGCTACATACCCAGCAACACTTCATATCTACTAATAATCGCCGCCGCCAGAGTAGCAAAACTGCAGAGCAGTGCAGTAAGTGCACCAGGCACAGGGAGAGCACCAGCCACACCGTGGCACAGCCGACAGTAAGCAACACGATTTTTTCGTGAAAGCCAGGAGCACAGGCTCAAGCTAGGCGTGACAAATTGCTACTTTACACAGCGCTCATTTTCAAAATAATGAAGCAATACCTGCTGCAGAAGCTCTTGTAGTAGCGCAGCAGCAACTGAAGCAACACGTGGCCATGAGGAGACAAACATACAGGAGAGATGCAACACACATAGTTGTCACAATTCCGAATAATGATTGTTGCTATCTCTAAACCTCATCCTGATCTCTTATCAAATTCTCATCACCACCATCACCACCATCAGCAGCAGCAGCAGCCACAATATGACTAACTTCAAGGGCTGTTGTTCCTGACACCATCACTGCATCAGCCTTCACACACTCTGGTAAACACGATAAACACTATCTGCAGAATCACGGAGAGAAAAGCACCGGGAGTGACAGAGATATCAACAGCATCATTATGACTAGGATGAAGGAAACTGAGCTCGGCGGCAAGGGAAATGTCTTTTCTTAGAGACTGCTACTGGAGAACTCTCTTTCCTGCAGTATACCACTGAGAGTCAGGGCCGGCACCACTGGCATGGCTGGTGAGGCCATGGCTGTACCAGTTTTTACCAATTCCAGCGTTCACGGGCTGCTCAGTATGCAATTGATTATCTGGAAGTAGTGATAAGCTATCCCCATACACTCCTCGCTAGAGTCTCTCCCTCTCAAACTGTTCTTCTTGTCCAGTAAGGTCCACTGCGCTAGCTGTCATTTTATAGCTAGAGGAATGTGCAGCTGAAATGTTCAGATATGATGCATAGACTGATAGAAACAGAGAGTGAATCCTCCCAGGGTTTCAAAAATTGGGCATTGGGAAGTAACCGATCGGTCCTGTTAGGCTGTGGTCGGCCTGGGGCCGTACCACCCCTCAGGAGCTGGTTAGAGAGCTCAGTGAGAGTTGTTGGCAACAAAACATTACAGTGCGTTTCAAAAATATAGACGCGTGCTTTCAAAAAACCGTTCGGCCAGCATCTATACCACATACAATCTGTAATCACTTTGTGCATACAAATTTCGACATTGGGTGTGTGCTATCTGATCGCTTAAAAATCTATATGAGAGTAATTGTGGGAAGGACCTGAGCAATATTCCAAAAAAATTCTCAAAAAGTTCCAGCAAAATTTGAGATATTTCAAAAATACCACTCGACTATATTTTTGAAATGGACTGTAGTACCTCTCCTACCCCGTGAACCCTTCAGTTTCACTTCTCTGCGTCGTGCTGGCAAATCAACGAAGGACTAAACAGTGCCCATGTGGTCTGGATACTACGTTAGATCAGGAGTAAATGCCAGGTCTCGAACACTAGTCAGAACGGGCAACGAGTTTTGCATGTTCTGACTGTTCAAGATCGGAATAATAATATTGGATGATTAAAAAAATTAATAAAACTGTGAACGGTACCATTCGGCTGTTGTATAATACAACAACCTCTCCTCCTCCTCCGTGCACTGTAAAGCCAGCCATTGCTACTCTCGGTAGCCATTACTCACACCGATAATAGACGAGCTTCTGATAGGTGAAACAGCTGTCAGAAGGAAATGTTTTACCCGTGACCCCTTCGGTGTTTGAAATTATTGATGTGAGTAATGGCTACCGAGGGTGGCAATGGTGGGCTTTGGAGCACATGGAGGAGGAGAGTTTCTTGTATGATTTAAAAATTGGTTGAGATTTCACGGCAAGCTATAATCCCATAAAAAGCACCTTGCTCCTGGGACTCCTCTCCCTTCACCTCCAACTGCTGCATAATAGTATACACTTCTCTCGTACTGGGATGGATCGTTGCGGAAAACCTTCGCCATCCAGAGTCAAGCCAACATTAAACATCACCAAAAGTGCCATCCTCCACATTGTTCAACGGGGGGGGGGGGAGCACGTACCTGTTGGAGTAGAAACTTGACACTTCATCTACCTGGTGGCAGAAGTTGGATATGCTTGTGTAGATGACCCTATACCACACATATACAGCAAGTAATACAAGCAATTGACTGGGTGCACGCATACATATTCACGAAGCAACTACAGTATGTACGCCCCACCCCACCCCTACACATGCACACGCGTGCACGCACACACATACACACGCATATGCACACATGCATACATACGCGTACATGCACAAACTCGCACACATACATACACACACACGTGCACGCACACATGCACGCACACACACACGCACGCACACACACGGCGGCACACACACGCACACATACACGCACACACACACACGCACACACACACACACACACACACACACACACACAGAGCGCACGGATGTGCAAGAAGCTCTGAAGGGACGGTTGAACATACTGTTCAATGCCCCAATAGCGCGCGCTACCCACACAGGTAATAGTAGTTGATACCACACACGTGTGAGGCCTCCTTCACAAAGGGTGGAATTGTGTCTGCGTTAGGCCGCTCTGACATTGTTGTGAGCCATTTTGTAGGTGAAGCATGGGCAGCTACAGCTGCGCGGAAAAGAACGCTGCCACACAGATGAATGCGATATGTGCTTGCTGACGATCTTGTCCAGTGCACCTTTTAAAATAAGTTATCTGGCGCTAGTCTTGATCTGTTTCGTTCAGATCTTGTCCGCCATCGTTGACACAAGAGAAAACCTGGGGTGCGCATCCAGTGTATTACCAGATTTGTGTGCTTCTTTTGGGTGAGTGCGTGTGGGTGCAGTGTGTCCCAGCACAAGTTGCTTTGTCTAACATAGCGTGTTCGCTATCATCGCTTCAGCGATGGGCAGGAGTATGAGTATAAGCATGTGTGTGTGGGGGGGGGGGGGGTGCATGAACGCATGCATGGGAAAGAGAGAGAGAGAGAGAGAGAGAGAGAGAGAGAGAGAGAGAGAGAGAGAGAGAGAGAGAGAGAGAGAGAGAGAGAGAGAGACACACACACACACACACACACACACACACACACAAACACACACACGCACATACACATACACACACACAGAAGACAAGCTAACCTTGGTCTGCTCCCATGGGCCGTGGTGATCTCCTTTGCATCTCTCCTACGCGGGGACCGCATGCACATGCGTACACACACACAACCACACATGCACGCACACACATGCACACGCACGCACACACACACACACACACATGCACATACATATACACACGAGCATGGAAATTAAGCAGCTGTATGCCCGGCTTTACCGTTTCTTTTTACAGGGAACAATTACATGTAGCCGTAGCCGCACTTGAGTTTACACTTCATCCTGTTGAAGGTGACACTTCATATTATGTTACAGAATTTCACCTACGTTTGTACTGAAATAAGCTAAGCAGTGTACTCAGCATCCTGCTAATACAATCATGTCACCACGAACATGCTAATAAAACAGAAAGGTTCCTGCCTATCCAGTAGAGTGCTCAATGTTCAAGGACTGAGCTACTTCCAAGAAGAAGAAGAAGAAGAAGAAGAAGAGGATGACGAATGTATTGTAACTCCGAGTTTCACGCACAAGGCAATCACCTGACAACAGGTCATGCTAACAATATAATTATTGTACACACTGAAATGCATGTGCCGGATACAGACTGCAGTGTGGATCCCCGGCCAATTATTTAAGAAATGCATCTCACGGACCGGAAAAAATATTGTGCCCCTGGAAAAAAGTGTCCGTGGGCAGTGTATGGTGTAGTAGTATGCAACATCAAAACTTCGGGGGGGGGGGGGGATAACAGCGTAAAAAGGGAGCCTACCCCCCCCCCCCCACCCAAGGCCAACACTGAACACAAAACCTATACTGGGCCGAGCATCAATGCGCTATGGAAAACGTAATATTCAATGCACTATGTCCGCCGTATTACCTACACCTAAAAGCATGCAGATATTTGGGACACATTCACACGCACAGAAAAACCACGTGCAGGACCATCTTTCCTGTCGTGGACAAGTTCTGGCCACATTCACACGTACTTTTAAAACGAAAAAGGGCCAAATACTCGCAGGCACTATTGTCAAGACAGCCAAGGGCGGGAAAGAAGAAAACCTAGAACGTGTTATACATGCATACAGGAAAGTGTGTGCATGTCTCTACAGCAGGCAAATACAATTTCTGTAACCATTATACTGCGAACGGTGACAGCCACGTTTGGCATTTCAGAAATCGGCCAGCAGGAAAAGACGCCGAAATCAATGGCCGTGAAGAAATCGCAGATAATTGCGCCGAATTTACAAATTTCGCAATGAATTCGTCGGAAATCGATGCCTCTACAGCGTGCATCAGGATAGCTACTCAGGATCGCTACTCCCACTATTTCTTGGATGGAATGGTGGTACCTGGATCACGACCCCGTGGTCGCCCTCGTCACAATTGGTTCACCAATATCAAAAACTGGACCAATGAATCTTGCAATTCTCTCTCTCTCGTTGCTGCTGATCGTGATAGGTATAGGCAGCTTTGTTTATCAGTGTAGTAAGGTTTTTTGTTTTTTTTTATTATGCTGCTGCCTTATGACACACATGACGCCCCTACGGCCAGAATGACTATGGGTTATACATACATACATACATACATACATACATACATACATACATACATACATACATACATACATACAGCGTGCATGTACGTGTACATGTAAATGTACATGCGAGCAGTGACTTCCCGTACTGCTTTGAGCCGAATTCTGACCTTGGGGCTCATAATATGGCCGAATTTGGACATTCTCTCTAATAACTGTTAGCCGATCGAAAAGCCGATTAGGCAAAAAAATCGGACCGATTTGGGAAATGCTTACTCGCCAGTCAAAGTGACTGGCATGTACGTCAGGTGCCTGAAACGCGTCTGAAATTCGCTGAAACGAGAGAGCTTGGAAGCTCAGGGCCCTACACTATGCTTTTTTGCCTTGATGACCTAGACAAAAAAAGCATAGGGATGTTATAAATTCTTATAAGTTTCTACTTTTTGTTTTAAGACATAACCTGGGATTCGAACCCGCACTATCGCCCTGCATGCATCCCCCGATACACTTCGCATACATACTAAATTCTTCCAAGTTGCTTCACGTTATGATCTTGTATTTGAAAGCCCTATTTGAATATGCATTGCGGCCAGCCGTCTTTGATTGTACGGTACGGTACGGGATAGGTACGGGACAGGTACGGTCGAGGGTAATACGACACCGTCTACCGCCTTGATGACGGCAACAAATTAAAAGGGATGTTATAAATTTTTCAATTCTCCTATTTTTCAGGCATTTATACCTGGGATTCGAACCCGCACTATCGCCCTACATGCATTCCCCCATACACTTCGCATTCATACTCATTCTTTCAAGTTGCTTCACGTTATGATCTTGCGTTTGAAAGCCCTATTTGAATATTGCGGCCAGCTGTATGTGGCCAGCTGTGCTTGATGGTACGGTACGGTACAGGACAGATACGGGATAGCGCCAGGCGTGACACAAACACACAAACAAACACCAAACGAGAGAGCTTGGAAGGTCAGGGTCCTACGCTATGCTTTTTTGCCTTGATGACCTAGACAAAAAAAATGCATAGGGATGTTATAAATTCTTTTAAAAAATCCTTTTTTTTTAAGACATAACCTGGGATTCGAACCCGCACTATTGCGCGCCCTGCATGCATCCCCGATACACTTCGCATACATACTAATTCTTATATACAGAAGCCTTGCTTGGTAGTTTAACATGTTTTTCGATTTTGACAGCATGTTACAAGGCGAGGACGCGTAGTGCTCCTGACTACAACCATAACCCGGTTGGCAGAGTCCCGGTCTTGCGACCATTTGAACCGTATTGGAAAACCCAGGTTCGGACCCTCGTTACTCTACGGGTTGGTAGGATTTTAATAATTTTCGTTTTTGTGTTGTAGAAGTCGTCGTGTTGCCGCCGTAGTATTGTTTACGTTGCTGCCGCTGCAGGGATCACGTCTGGAAAGGATTTGTGATGTTATTTTCTTGTCTTCCTCTGTAATTAAACTATTTGTAATTTATATTTCTTTTTTCTTTTGTTCTTTTCTTTTTTCTTGTCTTTTTCCAACTTCTGCCCATGGCGTCCTTCTCTCAGCTCGTCAGCTGTAACAGTCATAGTCATCACCATGACGACTGTTGTGAGAAGGTGCTCGCTGCCGACGAGGTTGGTGATGTCCCGACGAGGCCATGGGTAGGCCTTCACCTTAAAATCCTACCAACCCGTAGAGTAACGAGGGTCCGAACCTGGGTTTTCCCAATACGGTTCAAATGGTCGCAAGACTGGGACTCTGCCAACCGGGTTATGGTTGTAGTCAGGAGCACTACGCGTCCTCGACTTGTAACATGCTGTCAAAATCGAAAAACATACTAATTCTTCCAAGTTGTTTCACATTGTGATCTTGCATTTGAAAGCCCTATTTGAATATGCATTGTGGCCAGCCGTCTTTGATGGCACGGTACGGTAGGGGATAGGTACGGGACAGGTACGATCGAGGGTAATACGACACCGTCTCCCGTACCGTACCGTACCATCAAACACAGCTGGCCACATACAGCTGCCCGCAATATTCAAATAGGGCTTTCAAACGCAAGATAATAACGTGAAGCAACTTGGAAGAATGGGTATGAATGCGAAGTGTATGGGGGAATGCATGTAGGGCGATAGTGCGGGTTCGAATCCCAGGATATGCCTGAAATAAAATAGGAGAATTGAAAAATTTATAACATCCTATGCTTTTTTGCCGTCAGATATGGATAGCGTCAGGCGTGACACAAACAAACAAACAAACACACAAACAAATACCAAACGAGAGAGCTTGAAAGCTCAGGGCCCTGCGCTATGCTTTTATGCTTTTTTGCCTAGCTCATCGTACATGTTATAAGAACTGATGGGAATGTCTTTTTCGTTGATTGGCCACATCACAGTATTGCAAAAACGTTTCAATCGGTTTGCTTATGATTTAGGCAAAAGTATTTGCAGAATTTATTGCGGATTGTTATTTCTCTAATAATCATCTACTTTTGTTTTGCTCCTTCTTTTCTTTTTATCTCCTTATATTGTAAATCAACAAATTTTGGCCGATGAGAAATAGAAACCTCTCTATTAGAGAGGTTAAGATGCACGTTATTTCCGACGTGACGCGCAGTTTCACGTCAAATTTGAAATCGATCGGTATTTTTGCTCTCACATGCATCCATTGCTCAATCATGCATCATTTGCCTATATGACAAACGTTGGCCTGCGATTTACTTTGGCCGGTTGGTACCAAGCGGCGAAATCAGCGAAATTAAATCGCCAGCGAACATTAGTTGATTTTAATACAGTGATCGGATTTTCTGGCCTTTTTGTAGTAATACATGTGTATTGACCTGTTGAGCCAATGACCACGCCGAATGCATGGTTGCCTGTGGAGCACATCACATAACTTTACAGTCTCCTAAAATACGTATCCTGTCCGACGGCAAAAGAGGCTGCAGATTTAGTTTTTCTGCGCGTCGACGGGATGTCTGCGACGCGAAAGTTCAGCTTGCGCTATTTGGCTCGCACGTCGAAAAATCAACGCGAGTGACCTGCTGCTCACGTCGAAATTTGGACATTACATAAATTTACAGTCTCCTATATAAAAACGTATCCTGTTCGACGGCAAAAGAGGCTGCAGATTTAGTTTTTCTGCGCGTCGACGGGATGTCTGTCCTGACGTTTACTGGGACCGGCGCTGACTCTGCCGATCACGGGCGTTCTGGACTCGACGAGATGTCTGTCCTGACGTTTCCTGGGATCGGCTTAGACTCTGCCGATCACGGGCGTTCTGGACTCAAAGGGATGTCTGTCCTGACGTTGCCTGGTACCGCCGGACTCTACCGATCACGGGCGTTCTGGAGTCGACGGGATCTCTCTTCCGACGTTTCCTGTGACCGGCACTGAATCGCTCGTTCACGCTTATTTTGAAGACGACGGGATCTCTCTTCCAAAGTATGTTTATGCTGACGCATCCTATCACCTAATCGGCGTCTATTCTAATTTAATTTCCTCTTCGTCTCCCTATTTCTTTCCAAATCTCCCTCTACATCAGGGAGTCGTATACATAATACGACGAATATTGGTACGGTACGGGACAGATACAGGAGCCCGCAAATATTGTGGACAGCTGTTATGTACAATCCTGTAGAGCCTTTGTAGTCACAGATACGGGACAGATACGGGATAGCTCCAGCCGTGACACAAACAAACAAACAAACAAACACCAAATTAAAGCTGTGTGGACCCTGGCTAGCGCCAGACGTTACTGAAGTAACGTCTTCTGCATAGCTACGGGAATTAAAGCTGTGTGGACCCTGGCTAGTACCAAATTAAAGCTGTGTGGACCCTGGCTAGCGCCAGACGTTACTGAAGTAACGTCTTCTGCATAGCTACGGGAATAATAATTATTATCATTGTTGGAATTTCCATTTCAGTGCATTTCTATATGCCTGATGCCCCGAAAGCCACAAACAAACTCATGGACGCATGGTTTCTGGTGTAGACGTGCCAGTTATGAACACAGCTTTAACGAGGCCTGTGGTGCCGGCAATTCACCGTATTTGTATACACTTCGGGCACACGTTGTTGTCCACATGTTCTCCAATAAATTTGGGTCCCTCGAGTGCAGCGCCGCAAACCATAATGCAAAGGGCACCTCGCCGGTGCTAGTCTATTGGTTAGCCTGTACAATGACGTTAAAACTTAAAATACATGTAGTGCACAAAAACTCACTGCGTTTCTCAGGATTGCTCGCAGGAACATAATAATTGAAGTACACATGTCCAAGAAGACCACTGACACCCACGACAATTGGCATAAGGATAGGGTTGCGGAAATGCCTCAGAAAGGCATACCGTGTATCAGGTCTCGCAACGCGAGGATGTTTGGATCTCAAACGTTCGCTTTCGTTGCACATTTGAACTCCCTTCCAATCAGGACATCAACATGAACCTACAATTAACCTGTTCAAATCCGTATTGCACAACCACACGGCCCGAATCCCTTTGTATTGCTATGATTGTTGGCCAGGCAGGAGTTTTCGACTTGAAGATCAATAACAAGAGTCGTCGACTCGTACTTCTCGACCAGATCGATACAAGATCTTTCAAAACTCACAACAATTCATTAAAGGGGAAGTATACCCTAAAATCAAATTTTCACCAGTTGTAGTCTTCGGGGTGCTGAGTCGAATGGTCTTGGTCCGAGGAAGCTGAGACGCTCCCTTCCTACTTGAATCCCAATCGAACTCGCGCACTTCCACCGAAACTGGGTGACTGCGCCCTACGAGATGGGGATTTGTATGCAAAATGTCACTAAAAGCGCCATTTCGTTCTTATAAAAGCACGGATGACCGTCATTGGCCCATATGTTGTAGTCTTTTGGACGCTGAGTCGACTGGTTTTGGTCCGAAAAGGCTGCGATGCAGCGTTCCTCCTTTATTCCCAATCGAACATGGTTGAACAAGCGGTCACGTGCTCCTGCGTACACCAGTCACCTGGTCACCGTGCCTGCAGGGTACAACTTACTAGCCTGTTTGACCTTTTTTGGGTGCAGTCCTGTCACTCGAGTTGAACCTTGGTGTGAAAATTGTCGCCTGCTGCATGCTGGCGCGGTGACCAGGTGATTTGGGCAACCAGGACCACGTGACCGCTTCTTCAACCATGTTCGATTGGGAATAAAGGAGGAACGCTGCATCGCAGCCTTTTCGGACCAAAACCAGTCGACTCAGCGTCCAAAAGACTACAACATATATGGGCCAATCGCGGTCATCCGTGCTTTTATAAGAACGAAATGGCGCTTTTAGTGACATTTTGCATACAAATCCCCATCTAGTAGGGCGCAGTCACCCAGTTTCGGTGGAAGTGCGCGAGTTCGATTGGGATTCAAGTAGGAAGGGAGCGTCTCAGCTTCCTCGGACCAAGACCATTCGACTCAGCACCCCGAAGACTACAACTGGTGAAAATTTGATTTTAGGGTATACTTCCCCTTTAAATTTTGTCAACAAAGCAGCTTGCGCCAGGATCTGATCAGTGATCAGTGAATACACAGTGATCTGGTATCTGCTGAATATGACATCATAATGACATCAGTACCCAGCTGATTGGAAACATGCAAAAAATCATACAATACAGTCCATGCGCCAAGGGCCAAAAATGACCCGAATCTTTATGCAAAATGAAGATGACGACGCCGCTTTTTTCGACTTTTTCTGTGACCAATTTTGAGCGGAATCATCATTTTGATCGTCTTCGATTTGGCATGGAAGACTTTCATGAATGCTATTGTAACTTGGCCTGCTGAGGGCTAGGATAGTCCCTAAACAAAATCTGGAAGCCGTTCCGCCAGAGATTTTTCCGTCATGTTGCAGCAGAGCCACTTTTCTCAATTTTGCGTCGTCCAGAATTTATGATTTTTGGATGCCAAAATACTTGATGGCGTGAGAACCAAAAGTGAACTACCGGACACCGTCCAGACCTCAGGTATGTATAGTCCATTGTCCTAGGCGGCTCATAAAGCAAAAATTGTCTTGATAGTAACTTGCCCAAAAATTTGGCGAATTTTTCCTAATACCCTAGTTGCCAATGCACGAGAATCACGAAAACTGGTATGGCTGATGGATTTCTGATTTTCTTCTCGTAAACTTGAGAACAATTATCTACGATGTTACAAATATTAATAGGTGTTTTGAATGTGAACAAATACACTTCAAAAGGCTGATCACGTTCTCAGATCAGCTGCAAACGAGGGTCAAAATTGTAGTTCAGAGCGATGTCCATTGAGGCACTTCACCCGATTTTGCAGTTCATACATGGTAGTCATGGGAATTTGGGTAGAATTAAATATGTATGTATGCACTCTTATTTACTCCATAGACAAAGACATGTTCTGGAGTCTCATGGTGTTTGACAGGCGCAATTATTACTTTCATCGTTTCTCGGTGAATTAACTCACTCCACCATTCCACACTGCACTCTTATCCGACCCACGCCGCTTGCACATCACCAACACAACGGGGACATTCCTGTTGAGATATTCCTGCCCCGTAAGCCAAGAAAAAAAGGACAGCATTACAGTGAACAGACCCTGACAAGAGGACCATATCGTAATGGCCCATGCGCTTATACACACGCTTTTGCCGTATTTGTAACTTTTGCAGGTCGATTGGTCTCACATAGAGGCACGCACATGTGCTTGTAGTTGTGTTACCAGTATGGAATATGGAAGCTGTGCATTAAACCCTGTAAAAATGGCATATGGTGGTATCAGCGTGTCGTGGCTCGTGGGATTGGGTTCACCTATGAAGTACAAGTAGGGCTGAAACGATTATACCGATTACTCGGTCATTGATCAATAATTCCTCATAATCGTTACGTTATAGATTACTCGTTATCGATGTTGAGTTCAAAACGTACTGGAAACCCCATTTTGTGAAGTTTGAATTAGTTTCCACCGTGAGTACCGTAGTTCCGCGCATATAAGCCCATGGGCCTATATCCGGATATAAGCCCACCTCCATTTATAGGCCCATGGGCTAATGAACAGACCCAAACACCGTTTAATACGGAACCGATAGTACAGCATGTCAGTGCAGACTACATTACCAGTACCGGTACCTACGGTAGGCGGACAACCGCGCACAGACTTGTACTTTTTCGCGTGCCAGCTGCCTTCAAAATTCGAATATAGGCCCAGGGCTAAAAAACGAACCATTATTACTGATTTTTTTCCGGGAAAATGCATTATTTCGTATATTAGCCCATGGGCTTATATGCGCGGAACTACGGTATGCAGTTGCCAGGGGTATGGCTTATGTTCTGAGGTTCAATTGCATTCAGAATACATTGTACTTGTAGTAGTTTACATGTATACTAGTCACGATGCTTATGACTAGGTGTGGCTTTTCATTTTGTTTTTGTCCATGCAGGAGTCAGGATTATGCCGTCTACTGAACATTGTCGCATGCGTTCCTATAGAGCAAGCTGGCTGCTCTCCATCTTGATTATGGACCTCAAGTGTGGACCCAACTGGTTAGAGAAATGAAGGAACAATCGTCATGGTGTACTCTCAGGCCAAGGATATGCCTTGCACACCCGTGATGTCCTTTGCCGAGGAATGTGGTCCAGCGTTTCGAACACAGAACGCTGACCATTTACAGCTCGTTTGTAGTGGATTGTGTGAGTTTGGTCTGGTGGGATTCGTAGCCGTGTTTAAACAAGCCACTGGAGACAGATTTTCAGTGCCTCTGTCTTGGTTGAGGTTTTTCCAATCATATTCTGTGCACATATGGGTATCCAAGTGCCTATCGAGTATCATGGTCATGGTCACTGCATACAGATCCATGTGGCTCTCGAATATGGACAACAGTCTTCTGTTTGATGGCCAGGCCTGGTGATGTTGTCCTGATTTGGTCACTCTATCTTATGCCGACATTCAGTGTGTAAATGCTGGTGCTGGCTAGACTGTGAAGTATGGGGAATGACACATGTGCTTTTCTCAAGATGCTCGTGTAGAATTCATTCCCTTTGACCGAAAGCTTGTGTTCCCGGATCCTGTTTGTAGCTGTACACAATTTCTCCGTTCTTCCTTGTGGTTAACTTTCGCCTCCGACTATCCCTAACCATCATCTCATTGGGGTGTCTGTCCATGACGTGGCTGGCTGGCATCGGAGTTGGGCACTGCCCTGTCATCCACTGGCATAGTGTTGAACCTAACTGACTTGTATGTCACATACTAGCTGGAAGTTGTTTAAAGGGTTCGGTTTCAGTCTTTTTATAATTATACCGGTAGTAGCTTTACCATATTCCTATTACTTAGCTATTTCCTTTTCTCGCCCTTAGGACACTTTCTTCACCATACACTGTGTTTCTTTGGCCGTAAAAGAGGCAGTCTGCACTTGTATTGAGTTTCCTCATTGTGATGGAGATGGAAAAGAAAGCACACATATAGCACTTCCTGCCTGTGTCTCGGCTATAAGCACTTTTAGCTGCTACCATGTGGTTGACTGAAACCAGGGTGTGAAAGATTATTGACCAAGAATGCATGCTGCAGCTCGGCTGTTTTGTTCCTTTTCTTATGTAGATCTACAGTGAAGGAATCGAAATCGCCCCCCCCCCCCCCCCCCCCCCCCGGAATACCTGCGCTCGAATGTACTATCATGTGGTCCATTATTGTATTGGTTCAGCGCTGTATTCCGGTGTATGTGCTGAAGTTGTTTACAGGTAGAAATTGACGGGGGCACACCAAGTTCTTTACATCACATGTACATGTACAGTAGAGCCTCGTTAAAGGGGAAGTTAAGCCTAAAATCAAAATTTCACCAGTTGTAGTCTTCGGGGTGCTGAGTCGAATGGTCTTGGTCCGAGGAAGCTGAGACGCTCCCTTCCTTCTTTATTCCCAATCGAACTTGAGCACTTCCACCGAAACTGTGTGCCTGCGCACTACTAGATAGGGATTTGTATGGAAAAGTCACTAAAAACGCCGTTTCGTTCTTATAAAAGCGCGGATGACCGCGATTGGTCCATAATTATGTTGTAGTCTTTTGGACGCTGAGTCGACTGGTTTTGGTCCAGAAAGGCCGCGATGCAGCGTTCGGCCCTTATTCCCAATCGAACACGGTTGAGTAAGCGGTCACGTGCTCATGCGTATACCAGCCGCCCGGTCACCGTGCCTGCAGGCTACAATTTTCAGATCAAGGTTCAACTCAAAGGTTCAAAGCAGGGAGTCGTAAGAGGCTTTTGCGACTCCCTGGTTCAAAGGTTCAACTCGAGTGACATAAACGGGCCCAAACAGGCTGTAAGTGAGCACGTGATCGCTTACTCAACCGTGTTTCATTGGGAATAAGGGCCGAACGCTGCATCGCAGCCTTTTAGGACCAAAACCAGTCGACTCAGCGGCCAAAAGACTACAACATAATTATGGACCAATCGCGGTCATCCGCGCTTTTATAAGAACGAAACAGCGTTTTTAGTGATTTTTTCCATACAAATCCCTATCTAGTAGGGCGCAGTCACCCAGTTTCGGTGGAAGTGCGCGAGTTCGATTGGGAATAAAGGAGGAAGGGAGCGTCTCAGCTTCCTTGGACCAAGACCATTCGAATCAGCACCCCAAAGACTACAACTGGTGAAAATTTGATTTTAGGGTATACTTCCCCTTTGAAGAACACGGAGCCCAAGAACACGCAGCCTGAAATACTAATAATTAAAAGAACGCCAGAAACCAAAGCTGAGAATGGGGCATATCATTTTCTACCGTTCTATAATTCAGCTTTTGTTATACATGTACACATGTTATAAAGTGCACACTCCAGTACAATATTAATAAGAGTCTAAGAATGTGCTATAACTCAGAACGCAGCAATATTGCTAAAACATTGACTCAACTGCGGTTCTTTGCGCACATATCATACTAAGAGTCCATCACACATTTCCCTTGGGGTTGTGGACTCTTGGATCATATTCCCATTGACATTCACAATGACGGCTTAAGACCTTTGCGCTTCATTGAGAATTGAAACCTACTTCAAGCTGTCCTGAGAGTACATTACAACTTTCAGTTTCGCACGAATCTTACAAGAGAAGTTCATGAGTAATAATAACATGATTGCAAGCCCGAAGAACACGCCAATGCTTCATAAACTACATACAGGCTATTGGCTAGGCCATTTTTTAAGGGACCAAAAAATGACATTGAAATTGCGGTCTGCAGACTCTGGTTAGAACTTCGCCATTTGAACGAAGATGATGTGGGCTTCTATCTCAGGCCCCTCAAGAGTGAATATGGGTGCTGGTGCGTTTCTTTGCCATGTAATACGCCTCCCACTGGTGACGACAGACAATGCATTGATTTTGTTTTGTTCCAAACCGTGGAGGCCACCACGACCCCATCAAGAACCGGACACCGATGAACGCTTCTGGAAGTGTTTCCACATCGGTGAAGAGTCAAAGGAAAGCATCGATGTCTACATACTACCTTGCCCAAAAATTTGGCGAATTTTTCTTTGCCACTTGCCTGATTTTTACGAATATTTGACAGCTCCCACAAGAACACTCCCAGCGACGTCGAGACAATGAGTAACGACCACTAAAACTGACTTACATAAGGTCAAAGACCCAATCAAGGTGTCCGGAAAGCAAAACTTCCGCAAGCAGGCACTAATGGAAAGAAAACTGCAAACGACTCGAGACATCTAACATTTTCTTGACAATTTTTCAACGAAGATTTGAATATATTCAGCTCCGAAAAGTGGCTAATCTGCATAAAAAAGTACAACTTTTAGACGACTTTTTCGGTCTTGGCGCATGGACTGAATAATCATTGCATGCAAGAAGTTTATTTTTACTCTTGATATTGCACATTGGTGCACTGTTGTTTGCTTTTGAAGGCGATGCTTCGTATGATGCTCAATTCTCCCTTGTCCTCGTAAGTGGTGTTACTCTCGACTTTGCTGGAGCAGAAATCACAATGGATAGTGATGACGGTGATGCGTCCGTGAAGATGAATCATAATGGACAATGGTCCACGAATACTGAGAATGCCAAAAGCAGCTTCCTTGAAGCTGGCGTTCGTATGAGAACAGGTGGCTGGACCTTGGAAGAAAAGACCCGGGTCCAGAAAAATGTGGATCGTTATCTCGTGAAGCATCCTGGTCTAACGGTTGAAGATGTGGTATTCTCATGGACGAAGGACCAAAGAAGAGGATTCTACAAGAAAGCAGGCAAGGGCATCAGGAGGCCACTAAATAGTATCTATACGTACATGAAACGGCGCTATCATCCGCACAATTACTTGGGAAGCTACACTGAAGAAGAAGAAGCACGACTCTCCAAACTCTATGCCAAATATGGCCCAAAGTGGACGAAAATCGGCCGAAAGCTGAAAAGGAGTCCAGAGACTGTCGCAATGAAGTACCGCTACATGGAAGATAAACGCAAAGTTGTGGAGAAGGACGGCCATATCAAGTGTGGTCATTGGTCCGAGGAAGAAAGCCATATGTTGAAAGCTGCAATGGCTGAGTTCCACGACAAGTTCTCCATGGACACCCCAGTTGTGTGGGATTCTGTTGCTAGGCGCATCCCAGGAAAAACAGCAAAACAGTGCCGGTCATTTTGGACACAAACAGGATCCATTAAGGCCTTTGCACAGGAGTGGACTGCTGCTGATGACATCAAGATGATTACTGTTCTCTTTTCAACGGAGGATATGGGAGATGGGGAAATCCCCTGGGCTGCCCTACAGCAAGAACATTGGACAGATTGGACTGTTGCTGCTTTGAAAGTGTTTTGGCAGCGTCTGAGAGCTGTTGTCCCTGGCTATACTGCATTGGTGCTGGATGAGTTATTACTATGGCTCTATGATCATCATTTACCCAAGTTGCAGGCATCTATCACCTCGCCTGCTGACCAGGCATGACGGGCAGCATCTGTGTGAATTATGACCGTGTTCTGTTGATCCGTGTTGAGGTATGAGTTAGTTTACAGTTGTATTTACTATTTATTCTCTGTGCAGTGTGTTGCTGTGTGCTTTTTTATTATAGTTTTTAGATCTAGGTTAGGGAACAGAGGATGCTACTGTATATAGCGTATTGATGAGTCATGGTGCCACTGGCTGTTCTTGGCCGATGCGCCATAATTTAGTTCTTCCAGCAGCTGGTGCGACTGCTTCCTTTCCCCTCTTGAACTGAACGCTTGACGCCGCCCACTCTTAGAACAGCAGCTTGCTCACTCTGTGAGCTTGATTTCTCTAGTCCTGCTGTAGCTGTTACCCTCTTTTCATCATATCACTGACTGTGCTGTTTTTGTGTTCATGCCGATGCTTTTCAAGCAGTAACAACATGTAACGTTACTTTTTGCTGCAGGTCTGATGAGTTTGTCTGCGACGGCGCTACGATTGTACAGACTACAGTCGGTGATGCTGTGCTGACAGTCGCAGGTATCAGTACTGTTCTCGGCTTCTCCCATTATGGGAAACTGGGACTTGACGGTCTCAAGTATGCTTGAAACACAGGCAGGAACTTGAATACTACAGCATTTGTAGTTCAACTTTGGATCAAGAGTATGTGTTGTGTACATGTGTACTTTTGGATGTGCTCTTGGGAGAGTTGCCCTGTACTGGTGCATGTGTCACATGTGCGATTACCCAGTCCATGGCACAGCAGTACTGTGGCAGTAGTATGTCCTGGACCCACATCATAATAATTATTATTATGTTCTCTATCTTATCTTACTCTCCAGCATTACAGACTTGCACGTGCCCGTGGGACTGGCTAGTGCCTGTAGCCATGGCAACATTTGGCATCTCTAGCTGGGACATACATATACAGTTCATGGAGAAGTCGCCAGATGATTGCGTTGTGCAAGAAAATCTAAGTTGCAACGAACTCTGTAAACCTCCTTTTTGCCTTCTGTGTGTACAGTACATGTACAGCTGTACCCTCGTTAGTACGACATCGGTTACCAGACAAACCTCATTACATGTAGTAGACAACCATCCAAAATCCCGGACGCCTGAAACCGCATACATTCACATCCGGATAGTAGAAAGTACTTGTTATAAGACAAACAATTTGACCCCCCCCCCGGGCTGCATGGCTCATCCGCCTTCACAGGTACAGTAGAGTCGCGCGCTGAAGAACGTGGAGCCCAAGAACGTCTAGCCTGAAATACTAAGAACGCCACAGCCTAAAGCTAAGAACGTCGGTGTTTTTTTCTTGCATCTTGTGGGATACAGATGATCCAGTACGGACTATTTCTAAGAACGTGCTATAAGAACGCAGCCAAATTGCTGAAAAATAAGAACGTCCCAGGCTAACCCTTTAGAAACAACGTTCTTGGGCGCGCGACTCTACTGTACAGTAGAGTCGCGTGCTAAAGAACGTGTAGCCCAAAAACGTCCAGCCTGAAATTCTAAGAACGCCAAAGCCTCAAAAGCTAAGAACAGCGGTGTTGGTTTTCTGGCAGCTTGTGGGATACATACCGGTATGATCCAGTAAGAACGTGCTATAAGAACGCAGCCAGATTGCTGAAAAATAAGAACGTTCCAGGCTAACCCCTTGGAAACAACGTTCTTGGGCGCGTGGCTCTACTGTAAGAGGCTGCAGAACGCCCTTACACTAGGCTTACAGCCATACTAATGATGACCAGATTTCATTGCATCAAGAGTACATAAGCCGTGGGGTTATGTGCTCTTAATTAATTGCATGTGTAACAGCAGGAGTACATAAACCGGTTGTGTACCATGATGTACTCTTAGTAACAGCGGCACACAACAACTGAATCTGTCACATGCTCATAACAGGTGTCGTGAACACCAGGGAGTCCAACAGGGTATAATCGAACATAGCCTCCACTGGTTCTTGCTCAACTGGTATGATAAGTGCAAACAGATAGCAAAGCATCTCTTCCTTAGTTCATACCAGGGTGAGCGCTGCCCAGCAATATTGGGGCCAGAAGAACACAAGGAAACTCTTGACAAAATGTAATTCATTGAACAGTGCAACTTGTAGGGAGCTATAAACTCCCTGTTGCAGACTTATGCTGAAAAATGCAAACATGAAATCCGATTGCTGGAGTCAAGTACCATATACGCCAGGCACTGTGCAACCTTAGACTGCCAACACCGGTATGTGAACTGGTGGTGGAGGGCGCAAGCTTGACTCATATGACCGGATTTCATTATGCGTAACTTGTAACTAAGCCAGGCACTGGAAGGGGTTTACAAGAGCTGGTTACAACAAAGTTGCGTTTATGGCATTACCGATTGCCCTAAACCGCGGCTCAAACACGACCAAAGTGAGTGAAACAATCCAAAAAAGCGTACAGATAACATGATGGGTGATGCTGCCGCACATCATGCGCCAGCAGCACGTTGCGGCATTGTACTCCAAGGAAGCTAATACAGTGTGACACATCTTAGTTAAGTTGTACCCCTGTGTTACATTATTGTAACAGGATGTGCGATGTAACATTGTCAGTATGAGATGGAACAAGGTTGAAACAACCCAGCAATGGCACTCACCGGACTAACGCCAGGTGCCTACAACGAAGAGAACTAGTCAGACATAAACATAGCACATCACACACCAGCCGCTGGCAGCGACACGCACACTACTGCATACACTGACAGACCACAGCACGACAACCGCATTGGGTAGTGAAGTTCAATGATCGAGAGTGATGATCGGGAGTGACGACAAGTAACAGTTAGCAATAACAAAAACCCATAAGAGAAAGCGAGCAGCACGCAGCGCATACCCCGCCCGCCGAACTATTGAACAGAATGACCAGCGGTAAGCAGTAAGAGTAAATCAGTGAAATACTAGTAATTATTATATATCTAAGCTAATCTACATGTCACCAAACTCCTTCAACATAGCATCAAGTTCAGACTTTGTGGCTCGGTGTTTTTCCTTCCACGTGTTGACTTCATCTGCAGCAAGCACAATACAACATACACAGACAAAGGGAATAGTAACGCAAAACCAAGTGACATTCCCTAGCAGGATAGGAACGGCAGTGCTCAAAGGAACACTGCACAGGCACAGCTGTGTACAACAAAAGCCACCTCTATACAAGACAGCTGGTTGGAAAAGAACAGGAACAGTGCTTGAAAGCAATACTTCACACTGAGGGTGGAGCCATGAGAAAGAGAACGTTTCGATGTACTAGGGCAACACATTTGCCAGCGGTGGCTGGACTGGGCCCCGGGAGGGGGGAGAGAATGCATAGCTTGAACTCGATGTTTGGTATTCCTATGTAACAGAGCAAACATGACACTAAAAGCTAAAGGCTTGGGCATTTACTGCAGAATACCACACCTCGGCATGAAGGAAGATGTTGAAGGGGTTTACAGGGAGCGGATTCAAAGGGACAAATAGCAAAGAGTTTTGTAAAAAGGCATGCCTTCCATAAAACCAGGCGGATTTTTTCATGTTTAATCGCGAGTTGGTGTTTTTGCCGAAACTTTTCTCCCGCTGCTGTGGACATTGAAATCCGGTGAGAAGTCAAGCAAGCAGCCACAGGGTGCATGCCTTGCAGGCGTGAGTATGCACACGGTGCGACTCCATCGTCTATTGCGTGCTGGGCACTGCTGGTCCATGTTTGCAGTGTGTACGTGAACTACTACGCACTAGGGGCACTGGCCCTGGTTATTCCACCGGATTTCAATGCCCACAGCAGTACGTCTAGTTCTAGTTTAGTGAAGCCTGGCCAAGTTCACAGCGCCTCAGACCCGTAGTACCAAGAGTACATAACCTCCCAGAGTGTGCTACGCCTGATCCAGCTCTGCATAGGGTCTTGGTTGGGCACAGTCGGATATTCTGATGTCATAAGTATGTATGCTCCACACCAGCGCAAGGCAGGGCACTTTTGTTTTTGAGTCGAGAATCTGGGGTTTTTCGGTGAAGGAAAGTCGCGCTGGAATGCACAAACTGTACGGGTGCTACAGGGTTGTGATATTATGTGTGCCAATGCCAGGACCCCAGACAAGTCCTGCTTGCGACCAGGACGTGCCCGGAATCAGATTGGTACGGTAGTATGATGCAAAGATGCGATTACGCTTGACCAAGACCCTATGCAGAGCTGAATCAAGCGTTGCACACTCTGGGGGGGGGGGGGGTATGTACTCCTGGTAGTACACGCCGTGTACACTATGACTGATGATCTCCAGAAAGGTTGACGTAAACAAATTCCGACGTGGGCCAAACCAAGCTCAGTTGCTCACTTTTGACAACAAGAGGATTGGATAGCAGTCCATTGGAGATACTGCAGTGTCGCGTATAAAAGCATGACCTGTATAGAAGCCGATTTTTCGAAGCGTGCCGTGACACAGAAGCATGATTTGAATAGAAGCCGCTCTCGGTAAAGTACACGTGCAAGTACATGCGTGGCAGTATGCACTGCACAGTGTAGACTGATGATGTTGACGTTGAAGCATGTTTTGAATAGAAGCATGGTTTGAACCCCGGCTTATACGGCCGCAAGCACCTGCTTTTATACGCGACATTACGCTACATGGAATTAACGTCATGAATACCAGATGGAGTTTATCTGATCCGTGTGAACACGGGTGAAAAGTTAAACCCCACACTTGGCTTACGGCACACCCATGGGAATGTACGGGAACCATACTAAAATTGTTATAGAAGCATGCCAACGGTGACCATTGTACACACAGCCCAACTGTTGTCTGAGCAAGCACAGATGGACTGCGCCTGCAGGCAACTCGTGTCACCGAATGATATCAATGGCGCGGGCATTTTGTTCAGTTATATTCTCGTCATAGAGTACCCACTCAAATACAACATGTCAAATACGTACTGTTAATTGCGTCGACTTGCGAATTCAGGTTTGCCACACGACGCTCGGCTTCATCGGCCTCTTTGTCAACCTAAGCAACACAGAGAACGACATGTTTTGAGGCATGCAATGGAACACACACACACAAACGCGAACATAGGTGTTAGGACTAGCCACAAAAGTAATGTTAGCATGAACCAGAGGAGTTTTTAATGGCAGTCAACATTTCGCCCTTGCTCCTATTGCTTCTGGTGTGGACCTAACTGCATACATTTTCAAGGAGCAATATGGTAGGGTTGTCGCCAGAGTCAGAAGCCTTCTCTGGGGCCAATTCACCACAGCAAACTGAGAAACGGGGACCAGCATCACCATTGAATGGCTTGTCCCTTCTTGTTTCAACACAATGTTTTTGATGGCAGTGAGATAAGCATATTGACAATGCAATCCCAAAATTTCCAGCAGGCAGATATAATTTCGCTTGCCTCAACTATACGCGTACATAGGTTACCAAAGAAGTTTTCTCCAAGCGCAATAACAAAAGATGCACTGCCTATGTCCTGCATTGCATTTTAGCTCTGCTCCCCCCCCCCCCCCGAAGCACATTCTGCACAAGGGTGATATACGTTTTAATTAAAGAACACTGAGAGATGCAGAGAATAAACGCAGGCATGTCTGCCAATCTCATGGACATGGATACTTCTTAGTAGTGTTGAAACGAATAATCGAATAATTTAGAATATTCGTGGGCTGAACGAATAATCGTAGGAATTGGCAGAAATCGGGGAAAAAAATCGTAGGGTGTACATTTTCACTTTTTCAGCCTCGATCAGTCGAGTTCAACCAAGAGTACATAACCCCCCAGAGTGTGAACGCGTGATCCAGCTCTGCATAGGGTCTTGGTCGAGCGTAATCGGATCTTTGCGCCATAATACCGTACACATCTGAGGGGGACCCGGGAAGTCGCGGGTACACTCGGATCAAAAACAACGGTGCCCTGCCTCGAGACCGGGCTTGCGGTGGTGTGGAGTGTACGCATGACATCAGAAGATCCGATTCCGCTCGACCAAACCCTATGCAGAGCTGGATCGGCGTTGCACACTCTGGGGGGGGGGGGGGGGGGGGGGGGGGTTATGTACTCTTGGTTCAACGTGAATGCGCCATGCATCGATCTACTGCGCGGTTCTAGCTAGCTGTGTACATGTATGTATGACTTTGTATGTGGACTCTCCATGTGCTGAAAAAGTGTTGAAAATTCCAGCATGCACATGATAGAATATAGATTATTCGTTCGATGAAGGACGAATTATTCGATAGATTATTCGTTCGAAGATTTCGTGTTCGGCTTAAACACTACTTCTTAGACAGTATCCAGTGTTGCTCACAAGCAATGTTTACCAGAATACTGAGATGCAACACAAGAAATGGAGACAACACATCTGCCAACTTCAAAACGAATATGTTTGGGGCCACCTATACAGAGGTGTCCATTAGGTGTCTTTAGTAAGGATTTCTGAGATCAACTCAATCACTGAACGTAAATACCATTGCGACACTCACACGAGTGACACGTGCTGCAGATACATGAATACACCATCAAACCAAACTTACGGTACGGTATTCCTCCTCAAGTTCGCGGAGGCGTTCTTCGAGCATTTCTTCTTTGTCAGCACCCTGGAACAAGAGCCAAAAATTGCCACGAAAAAAAGATTGACATCACGCGATAACAAAGGAGCCCAACCGGATAATCGAGTTGTGCATTGTGTGTAGTCATGTTATTGTACACCTGGCACGGGATCTGCAAAGACCTACCGGAACCCTACCATTCGGAGCAAGCATGCTCTCAAATGTGGAGGGTTGGGTAGAACGCACTCATACCAATTTTCCGGAGTACTGTAAGACATATATATATAACGAGGAAGCAAATCTAACGTTTTAACGGATGACATTTCTTCGTTATAATAAGATCCGTTGAGGCCGTACTGCTTCATATATGCTGTGTGTGGATATGGCAGAATACTGCAAGATCGTTAACATATCTTCTCGTTAACCTATGAATTTTGGACAATCGTTAAATTTGCGACTCGTTATAATAACATGTCTTACAGTATAAGCCGCACCCCCATTTTCTTGCCACGAAATACAGACATGTACCCTATTTATCACCGGTAATTTTGATCATCGGAATAAAGCCGCATGCCCCTTTTTTGGGTGAATTTCGAGTGTTTAAAGTGCGCCTTATACACCGTAAAAAACGGAAAGTGGTATGCATTCTTGAAGATGATCAAGAAGCGATACGAGAACGCCGCAAAACATATACATGCACTACATGGCACTTCAGGTGAACCATTCTGGCCCTAGAAGATAACACAAGAACACTTACATCATTCTCCTCCAGAGATTTAAGCTGATCAGACATGCGCTGCATCTCTGTTTCCTGAGACTTCATCTTGCTGCAAAGAAGAGAATACGGGATATCCAAAAACAAACTCTCGTGTTAACGCTTCTAGAATGTGAGAAGGGAGGGGGTTAATTTTCTTCTTCTGCAGTAACTAGCACTGCATCATGTACCAGTAAACTACGGTACACCTATTGCTAAACGGGCTGCATGCACTGTGACTGCGCTCGTCACACAGCACGTACAGGTAGATATTAGACCCACAGGCTTGTGTGCTAAGTGCACCATAATTCATGTGCATACCATACACAGTTCATAAACCGCACTGTATGGACTTTGTAGCCCTGGACTCTATCATTTCGATTTCCTCTGACAGACGCGCTGTACGGCGGGGGCTTGTACTCATGTGCGTATAGAGCGCTAGCCTGCGGTTGAAGCATAGCTGACCCAAACCAAAGACTTGGCGACGACAGTTGATTTCAGACTTACCCCTCTGCTTTCGCTGCGCGCTCCTCTCCTCTCTCGACATCACGCTCAAGAATGACAATTCTCCGTCTTAGCTAAAAGTGAAAGGACAGAGAACACAAAGCCAACATTAAAAAGCAATCACCAGGCCACTTTCAGCAACAACAGAGATCAAGTCTTTGTACAGGAGAATGAACAGAAATTCTCCTCACGGGTCAGATGGAAAGTAAATGATCATCTAGACTAGCGTACACCAGTATTAAAATGTACATACATTACTTTAGCAGGCCAGGAGAATGCATCTTGCAATGCACAACATACAAAAATGTATAAAAGATAGGAAGGACAAAAATGTTACGAGTTATGACCAACTGTCCACCAGATAATACAGTCAGCAAGTGCGACAACAGGGCACAAAAGTCCTCAGTACTCCCTGCCAGTTTTGTGCCTTGTTGTAGCACTTGACTGCGTACTATCTGGTTACATTGGTGGACAGTTGGTCATAACTCGTAACGTTTTGTCCTTCCTATATTTTATCCATGATTACTTTGGCTCAACATCCGAATTCATACTGAAATGTGGAAATAATTGCAAAATCCAGTAATCTTTCTGGTCCAGATAACACTCTAGCTACGCTGAGCTCCTGCTACTGTTAAATTGTCACCTACCTCCTCGGCCTGACGAGTATTTTCATCGGCCTTCTGCTGAGCTTCACGCCACCTTCTTTCCATCTCTTCAACCTAACAAGAAGAACAGCACATCGAGATCGTTAAATTGAAAACATTCAAGGAAGCACAAGCCAACAATAAAACATAGAACTCACACCCAATGGCCTAGAAATGCCAAATCTAGTACATTTTGCCAAAGAATTAAAATTAATACAACGCACCAACACATATAATTATGATAGAGCGAAGGAACTATCGTTAACTGTACGACAGGACTAGACGGGTAAGCATGATCAAACGGCCGTAGAAGAAGTTTCCCGCAACCATGCAGAGCCCACAATATTTACATGGTGCCAGTGATGGAATCATGCTGGTAAAAAACTATATCTACTACAGTTGCGCTCGGTAAAATCCGACCCAGAGTGCACATTTTGGTGCCCTCGATTTGCATGGTCCTTGACGCCCTGGACGTGGCAAGAATGCGGCTGGACGTACACATGTACAAATACAATGATGTAATCGGGACGTGTCCAGGGCACCAGCTTTGCACTACGGGTCGGATTTTAGCGAGCGCAACTGTAGTATTCAAAAGAACAATGGCACCCTTGGGCATGCCACTCACTCAAACTTCATATGATGGCCAGGACACTGTATTTGCAGCGAATGCACGAAAAAATCCAAATGTATGCAATCGCGCAGTGCTCCAGCCATTTCATTTTTCTCGATCGCTGATTTCTGATATTTCCACTGTACACTCTGAGTAACTCAGCGCAACGAAAAGTCTAATCACTCGAGTTGCGCTGTGCACTTGTGATGCTGGCAGATCGCGGCCCAACATCCAAACGATTGATCGCACTATTTCATAGATTGTTTCCACCAACAGGTGAGAGCTTTCTCTTCGACCAGGATATTTAGATACGGAGTTATGATCTGTTGAAGTCTCCCATTTGAATGCGTCGAATTCGACGCAATCAAGCTTGGGGTGGCTACTGAAGGATGAACGCGTACACGTACAACGAGACCCTGAAGTACCTTACCTATAATGTAGTCGGGGAACTGGGAATAGTACGTACTTCCAGGATACTTTGAGCAGCCCTGCCCTCATGAGATTCAACTCATGCCCAGCTGATAGACATATCCGACATGCCCAATGACTCGTAATTTTTTTCATCTGAGATAAATCCGTGCACTTCAATACAGCCATTTAATCAACTGTAATGCTTAGGTGACATGGTTCACAGCACACGCCCGCAGGATAGTAGAGGAGTCGGTCACAGCCTCTTCACAGGCATTATTTTGTCCAGAAATAATGAAAAGTATGTGCTACCAGAGACTGAGCCTTTGGGACCACCAAAACAGTGTGTCCAATGCACAAAGTACGTGCTACCAGACTCCACTACCGCAATACAGTTACATTGTATATATGCGCCCTTATGCAGGATATCGGTGCCATAACATATGTACGCACGTAACAACCAGGCGCAAGTCCGATGCAAGACTAAACGATTTCATTGAACCAATTTTTGAACCAGATGCCAGATGAATAAATGAAATGCGATAATGGTTTGGCTGCGGACATCAAAACCTTTTCCGAGAGACCCAGAAACCCTCCCCTGCCTATCTTTACCTCCCTTGGTTAACTGCAGCACCTTAAATTCCTTCCAACGTTCCTGCAGCGGGGACGTTATATAAGACCGGGCCGTCCCGCACTACACTCTTTCCTTTATTGTTGGCCCACTTCAGAAGCCTGGTTTGCTAGTACATGACTTCATCAAAGATGATCCACGACATACTAGTACTACACTCACCTTTCCACTATCATCATCCGCCATGGCTTCCGATTCCTTCACTCTCCTGAAAATAAAACAAACAAAAAAGCACACAAAAATGCGAGGAATCATCAGGTTTTCGGCGAATGAGTCAGGTTTTTACCTTCACCGGCGTGGTTATTACTCAGGATCGATACAAACACAAACTGCAGGAAGCATAAATTACCAACAGAACTTACTTCTCGAACTCGTCGAGTCTACCTTCTGCGGCCTTCAAATCGCCAGCAAGCTTGGCTTCCCGAGCCTCTGTTCGCTGACATTCCTGTTCAAGCATCTGTAGCTTTCGCTTGGCAGAGGCAATTTCTGTGTCAGCCTACAGCAAGGCATGTAAAATACTTTCCATGTTAGCACTAAGCCACTAAACGGTTTGCAAGGTACTAGTATCAAACATAAAGAAGCAGTGCTGTATGAATGGCGGGCAGGGGTGAGAAGCAAACTCACCTCATCCACACGACTTCCAACCGACTTCAGCTGGTTCTCGAGTGATTCGGCTCTCTCCACTGCGTCGTCTCTCTCATTCTTGAGAGACATCATTTTTGCCTTGATTGACTCCATGGTTGCTGGCCGTTTCAGCAAGTTTAGATACAGCAGAGAGCACAGCTCTTTCTCTCTCTTTCTCTATCTTGAGACTTCTTGTCAACAACAAATGCACGCAAGCAATCTATCGCGCTATGAGGTAGAGGGTGTCGTGAAAAAAATTCCACAACGGCGCACTGACAATGTGACATGCCCCGTTTGTGCACCGCGGGTGTACGTGTACGAGCATCGAGCAGCCACCGACCGGTGCTGGCAAGGAATCTACGGACCTCGCATGCCAGCTACGACAGTACGAGCTCTCGGATCGGATCGCGGATCGATGTGCTCAGATAGCAAGCCGGTCGTGGTTGGTTCACTGGTTCAGGGCAGGGAAATCCCGGGATTATCCCTGCTTCAGGTACTAGGTCTGGTCAAGTGCATTTTGGTCACGTTACTCACGTGGGAAAATCGTATTTTTACGACTTACACATTCCCGGGATCGCGGATGCGCGTGTGCACATGCATCGCCCTGATCGATCACTGACGATCAGGGTTTACGTTTCGCCAGCCTGCCCTGCATACCCGTACTTGACACGTCCTTGAAGTAGTTGAAGGCTTGATCGATGGCAGACGGCATACCAGTCAGTGATGAAAAACTCAAGTCAAGGACGAATCAATGAAACAAACCTTATAATTATTCCAAGAGTGCACAAACTGTTTATGGACTCTTGTTATTACTTGTTTGCTTCTATTCGCCGGAGTCGGGACTACCTTTGTTACATGACTGTACTGTCACAGTGTGTGGTATTATTGTAGCAATGGGCTCTACAAAAGTTGAGCTGAGTTCCTATTTTGAGCCCTGCATCTGGACGAAGGATGCAAGTGTGGTCTTCAGCCCGATTGACAGCGGCGCCTATCTCCAGATAAACTTGTAATGGAACAGGATGGGTGCCTTGAGTACTGCCCTGCATTCGTCATGCACGTATTTCGTCATGATCACTGCACACTATTGTACGTGTAGTACATCTACCAGGCCAGATCCAATCCGGGTAAGTGGGTCGGGAAATAACTTCAAATAAGTATTTTCAAATGAAGTGAGCATGAGTATGAGTGTTTCTGATTAATTTTGTATCGACTATATCAATTTGTCCAGGATTACCCCCCCCCCTCCCCCCCCCCCCTCCCCAGTAAATCCTACGCACAGCGATTAAAAACATACCGGTAAAACACAGGCCCACCGGTCCGGTTGGTCAGGTTATTACCGGACCCACTTTTCGGCCGCCAACACTTGTTTCCTACTGTGGAGGGCATGTGTACCCGCCACATCACACACAAAGTATGAACGGCCATGATACAATCAAGAACTGCTTCCGGTGGTCCTGAAACATACCCCCCTCTTGAATATATTCCCGAAGCAGCAAAGGTTGTTCGAGAGGGTGTGTAGTTCTGACACCTCTCACACCAATCCATGGTGTTTACTGTCTTCCTTGCATGTACGCATGTACCGTAATCTTGTGCATATAAGGCCATGGTCTTATAATCGAAAAGTCGTTGTTTTCGGTCCTTTCACAAGTGCATGTTCGTTCGATTATAAGACCATGGTTTTATATGCGAGAGACACACATCGCATCGACATGTACATGTGCAAGTACGCATATTATTGGTTAGTGCCAGTACAATGTGACCATGATGAACCTCGTGTGGTTTTGTAATTTCATTCACTTATAAGTGCATGTTCTTATAAGCGAGAGTGCTCTTATATTCGAAAATAAGAACATGTCCCTAAATGGACTCAGATGGAGAGCCAAGGTTTAATTTATACAAAAGACAAAGACCAAGGAACTACAAGTTGCGCTACACTGTCCACTAACACCACCAGTTACTAAACAATCAGCTCATGCGATAACATTGCACGGCACTGACCGCCGGTATTGACGTTCTACAACTAACTGGCTAATAGCTCTAGCACATCTTGGATGCGCACTCCAACAGCCTTCCAACTTGGAAGGTCCTAAGTTATAGAAATAACATCCTCCTAGCCAGTAAGTTGTAGAGCGTCAATACCGTCGGTCAGTGTCGTGCAATGTTATCGCATGAGCTGATTGTTAAGTACATGTAACTGGTGGTGTTAGTGGACAGTATAGCGTAACTTGTAGTTTCTTGGTCTTTCTCTTTTGTATAAATGTCCTTAAATGCGCGAGATTACGGTACATGTACACCGTTTGCACGAAAACACGCCATTATTTATAACTTTCAGGCCTTTTCTGGAGAACAGTACCATACAATTGCATTTTTGCTACATGTTTTTATACATGTTCCTTAGAACTTCTGCTAAAGAACTAATTATCCGGTGAATTGGTGTTTGTTATATCAGGAGTTGAGTGCATGTGCGTGGTGGGGCCCTGTTAGGTCGCAAGTACTCGCAGGCGACCCAGTGAGAAGGGCAGAAAAAAAAGTAGCCCAATTTCCTCAATTTTAGCAGAAAAAATATCAACTTGTCATGTAGTGCCATCAAGAGTCCATAAACAAGAGTATGCAGCTGTGATCTCTTTTCTATTGGCCAGATGTGCGGTAGCTGCTTTCATTACATCATTCAGCTGCAGTCCGCACACTGCGGAAAATCGAACACCACACTTCCCCTCTAGTTTGAAATGAACTTTTGTGTTGAACTGGAGTTCACCATGTGAAGTTCATCCACCGTCCGTAGAGGGCTCAATTATTTTTTCAATTCACGTGCCCAAACGTTAGAGATCGCGCGGGTACTCGAACGAATCAAGCAAAAACATATGTGCTGGTACGAGAGATTCTGGGTTTGAGTGCATGAGCGCAAGGCAAGTTTTGTAATGAAGGCAGTGCGCCACGCGCGGACCCATAACGACAGTTTCATACTCTTGTTTATGGACTCTTGGTGCTTCTGATAAACGGCTCTGCTTCAGAACAGTTTTGAGCACAAAGCCTTTCTGGCTGAAACAGTGAATGCTATGTTCTCGGGTGCATACTGTAGAATTTCGCAGATATTCTTCTGATCTTACTAAGTAAAGTCACAAGCTGTTGGATGGACGTATACGAGGGCATGTGCTTATAACATACCTATGCTGATCGAGGTATGCATCAGCAAAAACACAGCAAGTATTGCTAATGACCGTAGTTTGCTAGTTTCCCTTTTCAACTCCCTCGACTGATGAATAAAGGACTAATAGAAGGACTTTTTTAAAGATCACTCATAACACACACAATGACGTGACATATACGGTGTCTGAACTGCAATTAAAAAATAAAATAAATTCTCCATCAATATTTCGGCCCTGGGCCATCATCAGGATTGAATAAAAGGACTGTAGTCTGTATGTTTACAATCATGGAGGTGTAGCATGACTTTATGGCTGAATCACGCCCTGCGTACGAGGGCATAAAAGTCATGCTACACCTCCATGATTGTGGTTCAGGTTTGCACGCATGCAGTAAGTCATTACACACAGTTTTCCAGCGTCAGTTAGGATCAGTTCACCTTGTCTACACATCAGAACTATTTCTGAGGCCAGATCAACAAAGTACAGTTGCGCTCGGTGAAATCCGGCCCGAAGTGCATAACTGGCGCCCAGTACTGATGCGGCCCTTGACGCCCTCAAAGTCGTATAAGTGCTAGTGTGCACGTGTGCTGTATGAACTGTGCATGTGCTGTACTCATACGCATGCATGCTCACACCAAAGTGTAAAAACCGTGCCAAACAAAGACAAGTGTAACATTCATTTCAGCTCAGCACAAGTAAAGAAGACGGAGATCGTTTCGAAGCAGTTTATTTCATACACAGAGCAGCAGGGCTTCAATATTTTGTGTGGCCACCGTCTGCTTCGATTAGGGCTTCAACACGACGTGGCATTGACTCCACGTATGGGGAAACAGTGTCAGGAGCCAACGAGTCCCGCTCCAGGTCCAGTGCCTGCACCAGCTGGTCAGCATTCTCGCAGCGATGTGGAATTATTTTCTTCTTGAGAAGAGCCCACACATTCTCGATTGGATTCATGTCCGGCGAGCAGGGAGGTTGAAACAGGATATTGGGTACTCCGCTATCGAGAAGATCCTGCTGTGCTTGAGCTGACGTGTGGGAGGTAGCATTGTCGAGCTGCAAGGACCAGTCGTTTGCGAAGAATCCGATGCCACTCGGTACAATGTCGGCTGCCATTCCTTGGGCGAACGTTGCTGCATTCCACGTCGGAGCACAGGACACATGCCCAACGGGTCCGAAAAGTGAAATGGCCCCGAGAACGTGCCCCTTTGCTGGATAGCGTGGCGCCTCGACTATTGGCTTGTCGTCCCGCGGGTACCAGGATATAACACGTCCGTCAGGACCCAAGGCAAAGCATGCCTCGTCTGCAAAGACAACGCGGTCAAAGTCAAACTGGCGATGCTCAATTCCCCATACTAGCCGGCTGTTCTTTGCTGCTTCTTTCAGAACAAACTTACGCACCGGCCGCCCGAACCTGTAATTATTCCATCTGAGACTTCTGCATACCATGCTGGGGGCTGCGAATAAGGTAGATAATCCGAGAGTGTAGTGGTGATCAAACTGAACAGTTATCTAATAAAGTAGTACAGCACTTGAAATCGAATGTTACTGTAGCACCGGAGAACCTTGCACTTCCAAAATCGATAGGCTACTGTTGCTTCTGCTGCTGATGTTGCTGTTGAATCTGAGCTGGCGGAGGCTGCTCCAGCTGGGTGAGCTCCAGCTCCGATGCAGTCTCCAGAAAGGAGTCGATGTCTACCTCGTCCGGCTTGAACATGTCGCCTACATTGAAAATCGAGTCGATCTCTTTGTCACTGAAGATCAGAGCCGGTGTGAGATGTGTGAAGATCGGAGCCGGGGCGGGGGGCATTGGAGAGGTTTTACGAGTCTTGAAACTGACTTTTTTCTCGTTTTGGCTGTGCTGTTGACCATGTGTGTGCCTTGTAGTGCTTAAACAGCCCTGACGGTATCCATGACCAAGGACACTAGCAGCATTCTAAGATGTCCACTACCGCTGTTCACGGATGGCGTGGAAGATGTCCACTGCTGGTGTTCAAGGATAGCATGGACGATTTCCACTGCCTGTATTCAGTGATAGCATGGAAGATGTCCACTGCTGGTGTTCAAGGATAGCATGGGAGAAGTCCACTGCTGGTGTTCAAGGATAGCATGGGAGATTTCCACTGCTGGTGTTC